AGTGCTAAAAGGCCTTTACTTTTTTTTAAAATAACCTACTTTATTACTTAAAGCTCTAGTTAATACACCTAGACTTAAAATGCTAGCTATTTATAAAAATTAATGCCTTATTAAAATATAGTTTTAAAGTAATGCTATTTTATTATAATAGCTATTTTAACCCTGCTATGCCTATATAGTCCCTTAATAAAATAAAGATTAAATATATAGGTTTTTAAAGTAAGCTACTTAGTAATATAAAATATTAATACTATATATTAAAAGTAAAGGTAGTATACTTAGTATAGCTTATTATAAGGAATGCTAATCTTTTTTATAATATGCAGTAACTAGTATATATTCTAACTAACTACTTATTTACTAAAGGTATTATATATTAATAAACTATAGTAATAGCAGATATTATTAAGATAAACCCTAGGTTAGTTAATATTAGTAACTATCTCTTATAATTTAACCTAACTATTCTTTATATTCTAGGCAAGCTTAATATCCTGCTTAATATACTTTTATACCTGCCTTATAATAATAATAATATTTAAGCAGCTGCAGTAGCTAATAATAATATCCTTAAATAAATTCTTATATTACTTAAGCTAAGATTAGTATTTTTATTTATAAAGGTAATTACTACTTTAAAAATCTATATATCTTTTTTTATAAATTACTAAATAAACTTTAAATATTACTATATCCTTAAGCAGCTTAATACTTTTATATTAATTACTAATATAAAGGGAATTATTATAAAATAAGGACTAGTATTTAAATAGTAATTAAATAGTATATTAATATATATAGCTTTAAATAGGGAATAATATTTATATATTCCTAGACCTATTATTAAAACAGTTCTTTAAATAGCATATAATAACTAGCACTTTAGCATTTAGTATATAAGATATAAACTTATTAAATTCTTATTTCCTTATATAATATAATAAATTAAAACTTATATAGTATATTATAGCTATATACTATTTAGGCAGTCCTAACTAGCATTTATTAAAGATCTTTTACTTATTTAATAAGTATAATATCCTTACTATACTTAATATATAGACTTTATTTTAGTATTACTACTAGCCTTTACTTAAAACTGTTTATTTAAGCTGCCTAGCATTAATATCTTTAACTGCATTTTAATATTAATATGCAAACTATTTAAAAAATGCAGCTTAATTCCTAGTATATTAACCTACTTTATAAAATAATAAGTAGCTGCAGTTTTTTAATTTTAGCTTATTACTAACTAAGGCCTTCCCTTTATAATTATCTTTAATAAAGGGGGTTAATAATTATTTAACTTTTAGTAAGCTTTATTTTACCTCCTTTATATAAGGCTTATTATAACTATAGTATAGCATTCTGCTAATAATAACTAAGCAGAATTTATAAATGCTATTATTAAGGTAGTATTATATTACTTTTTTAGTATTAATATTAATAGCTACTAGCTATTAGGCTTAACAGTAATCTAGTTATCCCTTAATAATGCCTTTATTAATACTATTAACTATTCCTTAAATAAACTTATTATAAGCTTCTGCCTTTAAATACTGCTAATAATCTTAAAAGAATAGCTTATGCTATTTAGCCTAGCTAATGCACTGCTTAAAGCGCTATATACACTGCAGTAGTATAAGGCATAGCTTATAATAGATTTTACTAATGCCTAGTATAAGTGTTATTTTAATATGCAGTATTATTAAATTATATTTAATATTAGTAATAAGGTTTATTTATATTTATATTATAAATATTCTCTCCTAAAGTAAATAAAGAAATTTAAATAATAAAAAATAGGCCCTTTTATTATTAAATAATATATTAACCTGCTTACTTATAAAATTAAGTTACTACCTTATTAAAGAATATACCTAGTAGTATTTATATTATAATTAAAAAAGGCACTTAATAAGGCAGACCCCTTTAACTAGCTATAATATAATATTATAGTAGCTATACAGGTTAATAGTAATAATAAAAAGTAGTAGTTATTTAAAATAAAATAGCTTTTTACTTACTAAATAAGTAATAAATGCTATTAATATCTAGTACACTAGCTTAAATAAAGACTAGAATATAATTAATAATATAATAAAGACCTTTTAATTATTAATACTAATAAGTTAGTCTAGGGATTTAAAGGCTAAGATTTAGTATTATAATATAGCATTTAATAACCTTGCCTTTATAAAGAATAGCTAAGATATAATGCTAACTAACCTACTTCTTTATATAACTAAACCTACTATATACTTACTTTTTATTTATTTTAAAGTTATATTTACTTTATGCTTATATTATATTTACTTTAGCTAAGTCTTTAATATATATTTTCTAAACCTGCTTATACTTAAAATTATTTTTAATTATCCTTTATAACCTTTTTTCTTTTTATATAATTTATACTAGCCTACTTATAATACTATAATACTATACTAATAGTAGCCTTATAATAAGGCCTATAAAGCGCTTTAAAATTAATAATATTTTTAAAATATGCATTAATAATAAAATAGCTAATACTATCTACTATATAAAAGCATATTACTATTAAGCTACCTGCCTTACTTTTATATAATAAGACTGCTTTATTAATATTATTAAGGCATACTGCTTTATATAATTTAAGTTAAATATTAAAAGCCCCTGCAGCTATATACTATATAAAGCCGCTAAGGAGGCTAGCGTTATATAGTAAACTAACTAGGTAGTACTTAATGCTATTTATAATAAGCTCTTAAAAAGGTTATTAATATAGCAGCTAACTCCTTTTTATTACTTAAAATCTATAACTATATTACTAAGTATTATATATAGCACTTTAAGATAGTTACCTTATCTGCATTTATATTTACCTTAAAGTTAATTATTAATGCTAAATTTATTAAAGGCAAGAATGCTACTATTACACCCTTAATTAAGGCTAAATACACTACTAACTTTAATAATTCTTTATTTAAATATACTAATAACCTTATAAGTAATATATTTAATAATATAAAGAATATAAAAATTAGCTAGGTTATTATATTTAAGAAATAGCATTTTAGCTAGAATTATATAACTATTAATAGTAACTCCTTTAGCCTTATAAAAAAGAAGTTAAATATAATAATAGCCAGCCCCTTTTATATTAATAATATACCCCCCTTTTTTTAAATAGTAAAGACTGTGTTATAAAAAGATATTAAAATATTATAAAATAATATAAAACACTTATAATATATAGTAGCTAAGCACTTTTAATATACTAGTAATAAGCTAATTACTATAGCAGATATATTAAATACTGCTGCTACTTATATAAATAATAAGGACACTAATTAATAATAAGGACACTGTCTTTTTAAAGGAGGGTAATTATTATATTATAATAAGAGGAATACTAGAGTTTATATTAATTAGCTATATTAGTTAGTAATAGCATTATATATAAATGCTGTTTATATATATAAATAGTAATTCTTACCTTTTTTTCTTTACTACTTTATGCTATTTATTTTTTATAATTACTTTTATAAAGAGTATTGCTATTTAGGCTGTATAAAATTGCTATTTAGGCTGTAACTAACCTCTTTAAGCTTAGTAGGGGTCTGTGCGTTACTTCCTTTTTAAATACCCCTTATCTTTAAAAATCTATATAAAATTCTAAAAAAATACTATAAGAAAAATAAAACTAGTTTTAGATTATTTATATAGTTAAGTTTTATATTTTATATTTAAAAATAGAGTTTCTTAATATATAATAGCTTAAAAAGCTAATTTAAGTTAAATTTAGATTTCTTCTATAAGTATTACTTATATAAGTATGCACTTAAAAAATAATAGTATTTATATTATAAGCTATATATAAGTATAAAAAGTTACCTAATTTTATATAATATATAGCCTTAAAACTAGTTTTAAAATATAGTAATATTCTCTTACCCTTTTCTAGTTAAATAAAAGCTATAAAAATTATAAAAAATTATTTTCTATAAATATAGCTATTAAATAAGCTAAAACTATTATTTAAAATTTTTATTTATTTTATTTTAGTAGTATTATTTAGGGTTTAAAAGGTAGTGTTTTAAGTGAAATTTAACAGGTACTTACACTATAGCCCGAATAGCAATTTTATACAGCCTAAATAGTAATACTCTTTATAAATTATTATTTTAAAGTATATACTTCTTAATAGTTTAAATTAAATTTAATTTATAATAATTATAAAATTTAAATGCTAAAAAAGAAAAATAATAAATTATACTTAAGTAATTATTTTTTTTTTTTAATATTTATAGCAGTAGTTTAGTAGTATTTATAATTATTATATATAATTAATATACTTTATAAGCAGCTGGTGCTTATTAAGTACTTAAATATATCTCTTCCTCTTTTAAGCTGCTTATAAGCAGCCTAATTTTATTATAGCTTATCTTTAAGCAGCCTATTCTTATCCTTAGGCTAATTAAGCAGCTTATATAGGTTGCGCCTGCTTATTAGGCGGCCTATAGGACCTATAGGCTAGGTAATTGCAGCTTTACTGTGGGGGAGCCATGATTAAGCTTCTACTGTATATAGCTTATCTGCAACCCTGCTGTTAACCTGGGACCACGAGCGATGGGGGCTGAGGATTCTCGGGCTGTCTCTCTAGGGGTATCTCCGGCGCCATCCGGTGTCATTCCACGAAGCGGAGCTATATAGCAGACTCTATGAGGGGACAAGATTGGCCGAAAGAGAGAGTATACGGGTTGGGCTAAACGAAGGATGCCTATTATAACCTGTTGGACAGATGAGGAAGCCTTCGTTAGAGGTCTCGACGGATTCCTGATTTCTCATCCGCCTGCTCAAGTGATCCATGCATATCGGACATGCGCATGGAAGCCAGCGGATGATGACACCCGGGTTTAGGTGCCATTTGAAGTCTAGCAGATCTTATCAGCCGTCGCTCGCCCTGCCCGTCAGGGCAAGGTAGCATCGCATCTCAGTTGACAGGCGGTGACATACATTTCCTTTGATCCCGCCGCCTCGATTCTTTTCCCGTTAGCACATGACTGTATAACGCGAGCACAACAAGAAAGATTCGGATGAAGTAAAAAAAAAAGGCGTGAACATGAAGATTGGCTCGCCGCAGCTGCGGCCGCAGCCACAGGCTTCTTATGGGGATTACATGTACTCGTACTCGCTCCCCGTTTATTCCTCAACCCAGACCGCTCCTGATCCTTTGGAGTTTCCGGATGATGGCGGCCAGGGCGAGGCAGCAGAGGACATCAACTCCCATTTCACAGCGCTCTCCTTCCATAGACCTTCGGATCAGCATATCGATCTCAGATACGGCATCTGGGAGGACACATGTCTCGCTCACCTCAAGCTCCTGCACGCCATCCAGTCCATGAAGGAGGAGATTGGCTACACTGACGGACTGTGGAATCTCTGGGACAGCCGCGGTAAATGGGCATTGGATGATCTTCGTGTGGATGCCGATTGGTCTACCATTCGGATGCTCGAAAGGGCGGACTCGGCGACTGTGACGAAGGCTGGGCATAGCAGATTGCGCGAGAAGAGATGGGCGCTGTTTGTCGCACGTGCTGTTGATCGATACGAGACGTGGTGGCATACGCTTGCGGAGACGGAGATGCTGACGGAGCAGGATATGGCGACGCCTGATCACCCCAAGTATAAGAAGTTTCCCAGTGGTCATAAGCTGAGATGGAAAGAAAAGATGATGCCGCCTTTAGGTGAGATCCAAAACAGAGCTTGACAGTCAGTTGCTGATGTATGTTGACTGCAGACGTCCTCATGATCCTACACACACATATGCTCAACCCGCGAGCTTTCCTTGAAGACACCATGCGCCACGGACTGGGCTCTTTTTGGCCGGCTGGCATGCCGTGGGAGTTGATACACAAGGCTATTGACGCCGACTTCAACTACAATGTGTCTGATCAAGCCAAGATCCAGTGGGTTGCCAAGACGGGGCACCGCTGGCGGAATCAGGACGACGACATAACCAAAATACTCAAGTGTCCCTTTTGCCCAAGCAAGAATGAGGTTCCATGGACGACATGCGGGATGAAGAAGAATGTGACAGACATTGAGTAGGTTCAGATCAGAGTACCTCTCGCATTTCTTCCAACTTACAACCCCAGATTCACAGGCCTCATCGGCAATGGATACGGTGATGGAAACTTCAACCACAGGTGTCCTGCGTGCGGAAACGAAAACTACAAAGAGCTCCTATCAGTGTCGAAGTTCGTCTCCGACACATCTCTTCTGCTAGCTCGATCCGTGCCGATGCCGGGGACAATACTTGACCCCGGGTCTGGTCGTCCTGAACTTGTGCCCGAAGGCAGCGCAGGCGAAAGATATTTCAGGACGTTTCCCAATCGCATGATCAAATTGGAGCTGCGGAGCTCAGTGCTTGAGTTAATCAAACCGCCTCTGGAGCCATCAGAACAGTCTGAAAAGTCGAAGTCAAAGGATAAGAAGAAAAAGAAGAAGAAGAACAAAGAGGAGGATCAGGAGGAAGAAAAAGCCCCGCATCGCCTCAACATGAATGCAGTCAGGGACATGATACGGAACACTATAACCAGCGTTAGAAAGATCCGCAGCATCGATTCAGACAAAGGCCTTTTTGGGCGCCACCAGATACACACCTGGGCCGGCATAACCATTCGCAAGATGATGAGCCGGTACTGGCAGAATTTTTCCCCCTTTGCGCTCGACCTCTGCGCAGCGGTGATGCGACAGGGCGTCTTTATCGAAAAGATGGTCAACATCGATTGGCTGCATAGTCCGACAGCGAGGGACACTATGACACGGCTTATTGTCAAATACGACCGGTTCGTCCAGATCATGCAGAAGCATCCGGGCAAGGTGGTGGTGCCAACGCTTGATGTCGATTTGGCGTGGCATACGCACCAGCTTACTCCTTCGCACTATTACTATTACACGGTGTCGAAAACGGGTCGGTTTGCTGATCACGACGATAAAATTGACGAGGATAAGCTTAGTCGCTGCTTTGAGTGGACGACCAAGGCATATCAGGACATGTTTGGGGCTGTGTACAGCGAGTGCACATGCTGGTATTGCGAGAGTGAGTCGTATATCCCTCGGGCACAGTAACGAAGATAAGACGTGCTCAGTTAACGGGTCATCATAACAGCCATTCGCTCCTCGCAAATATCGGGCATAGGCAGACTCCTCGGTCTTTCGTCAAACGACAAGCTATCAGAAGCCTTTCACAAGTCTAAGGCGACCGAGGTGTGTCTGCCAGACAAGTCTGCTCACATCTCCTTCCACAACGCCGTCAAGACGATCGAAACAGCAGATCGGAAGAAAGTCACTGCAAGAGCGCGAGCCCGACAGCGCCAGTGGTTTGAACAAGAGTATCAGAAAGCGGCCAAGAGGTCGGAGCGAAAGGGTCGCCCGATGCCAGCCAAGGAAGAGTACTTCAATAACTGGGGCGCTCAGTATACCAGTCAGTCGTTCTCCTCTACCTCTCTTCTTTCACAATTTCGTGGGAGGCTAAACGTTGTGGTCATCAGTGTATGGCCCGTACCCTTTCCCGCCATGGTTTGCTCCTGGGATGTACTATGGCTGGGATCCGTCGACTGTCCACAACGGCCCAGGCGCGTGGGCAAACTGCGCTGGAGGATCGTGCGGTAACGGAGGCATAGCTGCTGGTTCCTGCGGAGGTGCTGGAGGATGCAATAATGGCAACGGAGGGGTACGTAATGTCTTTGGATTGTTTTCGCTATGAAGTCCCAGGTTCACAGTTCTGACCAGTCCTTTAGACATGCGGATCGAGCGGTGCTGGATGTGGTGGAAATGGTGCAGGAGGAGGAGGGGGCGGAGGTGGAGGGGGATGTGGAGGGGGAGCTGGTTGCGGTAAGTGATCAACTTCTTGTATCTATCTTGAAGATGATGCTGACGATGGTGATTAGGCGGCGGTGGCTGTTGAGGAGCCTCTTAGAAAGTGTTAACATATAGCCGCGATTGTGTGTGTGTTGTCCTTTAATCTTTGGTCTTTTGTTTCCTCCGGGAAGTTAATCTCTCCAGCTAGGTATATGGGGCCATAACATCAAAATAATCATCATGGTACAATATGTCTATATGTTCATCATTCCGCCCGAAACAAGCTTGTCGTGAAGCGACAACACCAACCCCTGATTCCAAGCCTCAATGTAAGGTTTGCGCCGCGTAGACGCTGACGAGGTCCAAATTCTCCTCACTGAACGCTCCAAGATTCGCCAACAAAATATTAAGCGATGCGTTCAGCCACAGGCACAGCACGGTGCTAATAAATACGAGGCCTGGCAACTTTTCAAGGGAGGCTTAGACCCCTGCAGGCACCAATCCCACACCACGACCCCCGTCCCCCCATTTCATCGCGCTCGGTCCTTGGAAGCTGCAACAAAAAAGTTGCAGAAGGACGGACGACCGAGCTGAAGCAGCAACGCATCGGACTCCATCATGTGGCTGCCCAGGGCTGACGATGCCGGGCCTGTTGCTGCATTCGCCGGTGCGGCGCTGTTCTCTGCAACGCTGGCGCGATGGTTGTCCTCGCCAGAGTCGGAGATGTATTCGGAGATGGTCTCCTGGGCTGTTCTGCCGGCTGTTCTGCCGGCTGTCATCAGATATCTAGATAAGCCACAACCGAGCAAGTCGCTGAAGAGGCCTGTGGTCGCTGGCAAATCTAGGACAACGTCCTCGACGACAGCCATGCTGTGGGGTTATGCTGCCAACATTGCTGCATATACGTTCTTCAAGACGGAACCTGGCCTGATCCAATTTATTGTGAGATTCGTCCAAGAAAGGGGGGTCTGAAAACAGTGGACAAGTGCTAATTATACCAAAAGCCTGCATTGACCCCATTGCTACTCACAGTCAAAAGATATCGCAGGTCCAATACAGTCCTCAAGCCTCCCGAGCTGATTGCTCCCCTGGTGAACACATACTGGGGTCCCATCCTGGCCGGTTCATTCTGTGTCCTCACCTTTTCTGACTGGAGTATCCGAGATTTGCTCTTCTGCATTGTCCCGACGTGTTTACTTTTCATTGTATATACCGCTCTTTTACCAAGAGTCGAGACACTTGCGCATCTCCCGTCCATCAGCCTCGACAACATCATTCGTCCTCTTTCTATACGTGTCGTCATCCTCCTGCTATGCATATGGGGGATTGACACGGTGTTTTATGGGTTGACCACGACTGTCTTGACCAGTACAGTTCTTATCGGCCTTTTAAAGGCGTTGTCTTGGTACTTTATCATCCAGGTGGTAAGTCTTCCCTCGACCATTCAATCCGACTTGGAGTTTTCAGATCACTGATTCGTTAATGCCCAGGCTCGAGATGCCTCTTGGACTGTCGCGCCCCTGATCATCACCTTTAGCATTTCATTTACGCACAATCCAATCAATGATTCGTCCGATTTCCAGGCCGTGACCTACGCCTTGGTGTCCCTCATCACCCTCGCTCAATTAATTGCTCTACTGCCGAGACAAGCCACGTTCAGGCTCGCCCTATGGGCGTTCGGTCTTGCATCATTGATACCCCTTCTGCTAAACGTCTGGTTGATCTGGGATGCGCAACAGTCACCAAAGGCTTTTGGCCCTCAGAAAGAGCACCCCGTGGAGAGCCTTGTGCGGAGCGGCAAGGCAAACTTCAAGAGTCTGCTCCAAAGACAGTCTGGGTCATACGCAGAGGCTGTCGAGGAGTACCGGCGTCGATATGATGCCGCGCCGCCTCCGGGGTTCGAAGGGTGGTATGACTTTGCGCTTCGCCATAAGTCGCCCATCATCGACGATTTCGACGCCATACATCATGCTGTCTCGCCTTTCTGGCAGCTCAGTGGGAAACGAGTCAGTGAGACGTTGAACCAGATTCAGTTTGCTCAAAACAGCGAGATGTGGTTCTGCAGCGTTGATGGTGCATCTGCCACGACTGAATGCACTCATGCATATCGAACTTTCGACAGACATCTCAAGTTCTTGTTTGATAAGCTCTTCCAGGGCTTGGGTGGCGCGTTGCCGGACGTCAAGTTCCTCGTCAATCATTTTGACGAGCCGCGGATATTGCTTCCGACCTGGGGAGCAGAAGAGGCTCGGAAGCATCCGCAGTTCAACATCACCAACCTGTCACGGCGACCGATCTGGGACGAGATTATAAAATTCTGTGCCTCTAGAGGAGAAGGCAGCACGGCAAAGGCCAAACAATCTTCGATGCAGACGTTTGATCTACCGTTTGTCACGGATCAGCCTTCTGCAATGGATTTGTGCGAGCATCCAGAGTATCGCAACATGCACGGCCTTTTCATGAGCCCCGTGTCCTTTTCCTTGGTGGAGGGGCTTGTCCCAGCTCTTTCGACCGGCTCACCGTCAACAATGGGAGACATCTTGTTGCCAAGCCCTGCATACGTTGAAGGAGAGTTTATATACGACGATTCAAAGGAGATGGGCTGGGACCAGAAGCGCAATAACCTCTACTGGGCCGGATCCACGACCGGCGGTTTCGCTACGGATGCAAATTGGTCCTCATACCAGCGTCAAAGGTTCGTGAAGCTGGCGCAGAATCTTGAGCATCGGCAGTATGACTATCTGCGGGAGATTGGAGGCGTCATCCAGCGCGTCGCATCATCGTTCCTGAATGGCCGACTATTTGACGTGGCATTTACCAGAATCTTCCAGTGCGAAAGGAGGTATTGCAGAGACCAGAGGAGATTCTTTAAACCTGCGGGCTGGGCAGACAAAGACAAGGCGCTCCAGTCACGCCTCGTCTTTGACATTGATGGGAACGGGATTAGCGGTCGATACTACAAGCTGCTGGCATCAAAGTCGGCCCCCATGAAGCAGACGCTGCTCAGAGAGTGGCATGATGATCGCCTTGTGCCCTGGTATCACTATATTCCTGTTAGTCAGAGCCTGGACGAGCTTCCAGAGCTGGTGTCTTACCTCACGTCTACTGAAGCTGGTCAGAGACGGGCGCGAGAGATTGCAGGGCAGGGACGGGATTGGTTCTTCAAGGCGCTGAGGGAGGAGGACATGGCGGTTTACATGTATCGCCTGTTGTTGGAGTTGGCGAGACTGCAAGATCCGAGCAGGGAGGCGGGCTCTCCGTGATATTGATGACATTTCATTGGTTCTGTCAATTCTAGATTTCTGCAATAGATCGGATGATTTCCGTTGCAAGTTATGGTGGCTCACTAAAAGTGCCTTATATGCATGTGGTTAGAACATGAGGCCATGCCTCGTCAATGCTACCTAATCTGACTCACTCATACGGCTTCATGTTATTGAGACGGATGATAGACTGGGTGCCATCTTGCGGACCAAGACTCTACGTGTAATAGCCAGATACATCACACAGTCATTCAAAATGGCCTCGTCAGCGAATCCCAGCGCGCTGCATCCCTTTCAAGCAGCCGCCATCGCCAACATCAAGGCCCAAGCCCTCCAGCTCAGACCGGACGCTCTCGCCAACATCTCCCACATCTTGCGCATGTCCAACATCCCGATAACGAAGCTCGACGATATCCGAAAAACAATTGTTCAACATGCCCGGGTTGCACTGCATTTCCATCCCGATCGCCCGTCTCGCAGCGGCCGCACCGTCGTTGAATCTCTTCTCGAAGATGGAACTTACCGGAACCAATTTGAAACGGGCATCTCAAACGGCCTCGTTGCGACGCAGTTGGGCGGTGCTCGCGATGAATGGGAACGAAGCCTCTTTAGCGGTGCATATCACGGCTTCACTCGCGACCCAAACACAGTGGATGCCTTTGATCTGTCACTGAGGCCCAAATACGGTGCCTTGGATCTGATGCGTAATTCCGACGGTCCTGCACCGCGATTTGGGTCGTGCTACTTTCTACTTCGACCCGAGGTGTCTTCTCGGTCTACATTCACGTTTGGGGGCTCACAGGCTGCGCCCAAGGACAGAGGCACGATTGATGAGTTTGATGCAATTTTGGCTGCTCTGCTGGAGGAATGCTTCACGTGGGACGCGGCGCTGGGGGTGCAGAACGTGAGACCCAAGCAGATGGTGGACTATATCAACGCTCTGAGAGAGTCACCACTCGTTGGAGAGCACTACAAGAGAATACCGAGCCGCAACCTGGATCACTTGATCGAGGCGCAGATCCATGGCGACGTCCTTCTCTCGCGCGATGTCGAAGCTCTAGTTGTTGATCCATCGTTCTTCAGCCGCGGCGACACCGGTCCTCTTCTTAGAGCTTTGGGCGAAACGTATGGATTCCCGGTATTTGTGCATCACGGGTTCCAGTTGTCGATCGACGACGTTCCGGATGACTTTCGGGGCCCTACGATGCCTTCTTTGGCGGCGAGGATTGCGTTTGAGGGGGGTGTGGATGTGCAAGTCGTCGGAGAGGCTGTGAGGGATGCGGTCTCTGGTGGGCAGCTACTGAGAGACAGAGGGACTTTGGCCGAGGTCTTGCAAGAGCTGAAGCTCTTGTGGCATGTCTTGGTTCGATATGGGTGAGGAGTTCGGATTGCTGAGCCGGACTTGGATTTCGAGGTACACAGTAAGAAAGGCTCAAGTGACGGGACCGGAGTTCGGGTATCTTGTCCGTAATTCGTATATGTCCCTGTCATCAGGCAGATAAAGTGAGCAACAAACATCTGAAAAATAAGCACCAGAGATTTCGCTCGATCCTCATCATCCTCCATCACAACTAATCACGGCTACCATGATCCAAGTGCTTACTCATACCCTTCTTCGCAAGCCCCCCTTAACGCCTCATCTCATGGCTGATAACCTGAAAGCCAATTACACATTCCATCAGTCTCGGGCTCCTCACCATGAAACAATCCATAGCAGAACATCCAAGGGGCAGCAGTAGTACTGTATCAATCTGTCCGCCGAATGACTCTTGCCGCGCGGGCGCTTACTCAAGCCTGAACCCCCTCCTAGAAGCATTCCAGTTTAGCCTCGGACTCGTCGGGGTGGGTCAGAGGATTCTTTGTTGGAGCTCCCCCTAGTTCGGGGGTTTTCTGGTAGAAACGGCCAGGGGATTCGTCGTTTATAGTGGTGTTTGGTAAGCAGTCCTTGAAGATTCGGAAGTCGGACAATGGCGATGGATCCTTAGCACAAGTCTACGACGTAACTCGCGTGCGGGAGCTGTCGAGGAGGAGCGGAGTCTGGGCGGAGTTTGGGACTCTTATCTCAGAGGTTTGGACTTTTTGTTTCCTCAGTTTCTGTAATTCAACATCCTTATTCTTCTCCTACCAAGAGTGCTGTAGTTAGCTGTTCTGCTCCATCGTCAAGCCGTGGCTTCGGGTTGGCGACAGCCCGTTCCTGGATCGCCGCCGACAATGGCTTCCTCTCCTGAATCTCTATCCCGGGGCGAAAATGGCTACCGCTATGATACCATCGCCGCTGCGAATCCCTCTCAAACCGAACCGCCCTCGCCGTCACCGTCGCCTCCTCCCCTAGCAAAGCCGACGGTCCGACTCCTAGCCCCCGATCTTCAGCGCGGCCTGCTGATGGCCCTCATGGCCATGGATCACGTCGCTCTCGGTCTGAATACATGGCAGCATGGAACGAACATCGATGGCGAGATGGATGGTCTAATTGTTCGCCGTTGGAACTTTACCACCGCTTACATCGTTCGCACATTGACGCATTTCTGTGCTCCCGGCTTCACATTCTTGCTCGGCATGGGCGTCGTCCTGCTCTCTCAGTCTCGCACACGGCTCGGATGGTCGGCGGGCAGATTGATGCAGTACTACGCCATTAGAGGCCTCGTTCTGACGGCTGTGACGACGGTGATTGGATGGTTAGCGTCAGGGGGGCGGATGTGGTTCATGAATGTCGTGCTGTTCTCGCTGGCAGTCGACTATGTCCTAGCGGGAATGATGTGGTTGCTCATGGATCGGACGGAGAAACGGCTTGCCGAGGTCTTGGAGAGAGTGCTTCTGATGCTGGATAAACGTTCGGGGGCTGTATATGTTGCTGGGGCTGCGGGTGATGAGGATGAAGAAGGGGGTGTTAGCCAGCCGTTGCTGCTCGGACGAAGGCATGCTGCCAGAGAAAGCGAGAGGGCTGCTACAGCTGCATCGTTGTCGTGGCATATTCACAATGCGGCGCTTGTCATCCTCAGCGTCATCACCATCTGGTGGAACATCTGGCTCTCCGAAGACCGCGGCCATTGCAGCCTTGAAACGGAGGGAGACGGTTCGGCTTCGGCCCAGTTTGTCCCGACTTCGAAGCATCCCTTACTCGCCATCTGGTTCTGGTATGTCCAGAGCGAACATGTCATGTCCGGCTTCCCCCCTATGGCGTGGCTGTCCTTTGCCATTCTCGGCCTCCTCTACGGCCGCATCCTCACTGCTCGAAAGTGGACGACGTCTGCCATTGCCATTGGCCATGCCTCTGCAGGCGCCATCTTTTCCATCCTCTTCGTCCTCACCAGGCTCTTGCGCGTGGGCAATCTCTCCGAGGACTGTCTCCATACTCCCGCGCAGGACGGTCAGGGTTCTAGCGAGAACCCCTATCTTGCCTCACCAGCGTCGTTCTTCTACATCATCAAGTACCCCCCTGATGTTGCCTTCTGGGCCTTTACCATGGCGGGCAACTTGTTCATGCTCGGAGGATTTACTGCGATCCCCGCACACATTGCGAAGCGCTGTGGGATGCTTTTGTCTTTTGGCACGTCGGCGCTCTTTTTCTATGTGGTTCACCTGAACATTGTCATGTCTCCTCTTGGAACACTCATCAAGGAGGCGTTTGGCAGCGAGGCTGGACATGAAGACCCGATGCACCCGGGGAGCACCAAGGGCATCACCAACTTGTTTGGTTATTTTGCGCTTTGGTTTTCTCTGCTACTCATCATGTGGCCGGCGTGTTACTATTACAGTCGTTTCAAGAGCACGAGACATGCAGACTCTTTGTGGAGGTTCTTTTAAAAGCGCGTAGCGATCATTGCAGGACAAAATGACATAGTTCAAGGGCATATATGGTAGATTCATGAACAATATCTAGGGAAAGTATATCCACCTGCGCCTTATGTATGCAATTCGTGCCATGAAGAAGAAGGGAATGCGCTCGAAGTATGTATATCGTCAGGTGTTCGTGATTCATTATTTACGGAGTCCGTATCGCTGGAGCCAGCTGCCCTCCTTCTTCGCCCCCTTCTCTCGCACGTTTGTGTCTTTCGGTAGGTTCTGCCTATTCTGCTGTTCTCGCTGTTCTCGCTGTTGCAGCTGCTGCTGTCTCTGTAATTGTAATTGCTGCTCCCGCAGTCTCTGCTGTTGTTGCTGCTCCCACTTCAGCTCCGCTCTGCTGAGCGTCGCAGCCGCATCCCAAAAGTCTCTCTTCTGAGCGACGTCTCTAGGCAACTCTCCTCGCCTGTTCCTCAAAGTAGGGTTTGCCCCCAGATCACGCAACGCGCGGATCACTTCTCTTCGTTCGGCATCTCCGTCCTCGGCAGATCGGGCGGCGTAGTGAAGCGGCGTTCTTCCGTCTGTCGTCTGGCAGTTGGGGTCGGCTTTGCCGCGCTCGATGAGCATCTCGACTGTGGCGGCTGATGCGTAGCGGGCAGCGAGGTGAAGGGGCATGCAGCCTCCGTCGGCGCGGGCATGGACGTCTGCGCCGTGGTCGAGCAAATACATGGCGACGGCCATGTGATCGCGTTCAACAGCAAGGTGAAGTGGTGTAAGACCGTGAGGATCGCACGAGTTGGGGGGCGCTTGACGCATGCAGTTGGCAACGGTTCGGACATCTCCCTCCCATGCAGCATCTAGCAAGATATCTTTCGGGCTTGGGAGCGTACTGGACTCATCAGGTCCTGCTGTAGGAGCGCTGGTAGAGGCATGGGACGGAGGCTGTTGCTGCTCGACAGAAGGCTCCGAATGGGGGGGTGTCGGCGGGCTTGTGGCGGCTTTTGGAGGGTTAACGGGTGGTTCAAAGTGTTCTCTAGTTCTGGGAGATAGTTCAGGTGATGGAGGAGATCGGTTCGGTATTGAAGTTGATGGCTGCTGCATTGGGGCGTGTACTGGCGGTTGTGGCGCCGAGTTCACATGTATCCTCGACTTTTGTTGAGGGGGAGATGGTGCATTTGGTGTGGCTGTGCCCGTTGATGAAGGCGAGGGTCTTTTCAAAGCTCGACTGTTACCTATGTTAGCAGAGTTACATACAGATTGCAGGGGAGATTATAGATGGACTCACGCGTAGATATTCGACATAAGGGTGCCCAGCTGCAATAACTGCTGCTGCAGCTCGGCATCAGCGGCCTTGATCTGCTCCTCGCCCTCGTGCTTGTAGTTGTACGAGTGCCAGAATTCCTCCAAGCGCCCAAGAGCTGTGCCATCCTGCTTGGCAGCTCCGGAGAAGCCCGCCAGCAGTTTCGTCATCTTCTTCAATGTCTCACTTGTGCTGTCAATGGCTTCCTCGATGTGAGACTTGAGCACCTGGCCGGTTTCGTCCTCAATCAGGTCCGGGCGCGCCTCGATGCACTCCTTCATCTGCTGGATCGTGTCCCGCGTGGTCGAGATTTTGGAAGTGAGGGCGCGGATCTCGTCGGGGGCGTCATTGACGTTGTTGAACCATTCGACCCATTCTTTGGCCTTGTCTGCGTGTTCAGAGAGTGCGCGGATGCCCGCATATGTGGCGAAGGAGGTCGGGAATTTGCTGAAGAAGCTGTCGGAGCCTTTGCGCTCGTGTCTTGTGCGACGCAAGGGCGGATTGGGCGGCTGGGCAGAGTTGTGCTGGGGGTTTGGATGGGAGTTTGCGTTGTAACCATCTACAGAGGCCGAGCGGTGTCTATCGGACGCTGCAGAAGGCCTGTGATAGGGAGAGCTGCCTCTCCTAGTGGGCTGCGGCCTATTGTTTGATGACGCTGAGGGCGGATATCGTCGGGCCTCTTGCCTGGCCTCCCTTGAAGAAGCGCTCCATTCAGACTTGTGCGCAGAAACTGGAAGCGCGCCAGCCGCGACGGGCGGTCCATGTTGTCCCGGTCGTTCGCGCCGCTCACGATCGTGACTGTCGCTTCGTTGCGATCGCGAGGGAACGGGAGACTGCGGCATGTCGTGGTGCCGCGGGACTTCCGAGGACGAATATCTACGCCGAGGCGGCGATCGGGACTGGCGACTGTGGTGACCACCTGCAGCGCCCGACGGTCTCTGGCGCGAGTGAGGAGATACAGATGACCGAGACGCAGACTCTCTTCGTCTGCTGGACGACGACACCACCGACTTGTCAAGATCGTCCCGGTGCGGCCTCGAGTCTTTCGTCAGTGGTGGCCGCTGAAGCTCCGAAGGCCGCCGCTCGTCGACGGAAATCGACGCCCGGCGACGCCTGGGTTCGCCGGATGGCTTCATCATGTCTTTCTGCGCATCGTCGCGGCGGTTTCGGGAGAAGAGGCTGGAGCCCATGGCCTTGACGGAACTCGATCTGAAGGGCAGCTTGCTGCGGGACATGGTCTCGGCGCTCGCATCTCACGGCGGTGTCGGGGATGGTTGATTCTGGAAGAGTCTCGGTGTCGTTTGTCGGCTGTTCTAGGTAGCGATGGGAGGTAAATAGCCAGCCAGAGAGACAGAGGTCATGGGGAAGGGGGGTAATGGAGGGGGGAGATGATGAGGATGAAGGCCTCCAAGCCCTCTTGACTCGATCAGCTCCAGCTCATGCTGGAGAGCCAGAGTGCAGCCTGCTGCCTTTTCAGAAGCGCACGAGGACGCAGTCGGCATGACGCTATGAGCACGAGGCCAGGCTTCAGAGGTGGGTGAGACGATGGTTCTAGTGTGGGAGCGGCCAACCAGCCACAGCGTGGCTTTGCAAAACTCGAGCTTGCATGGGGGCAATGCACGACAAGACTGGGCCTGGGATCTTCTGTCTTGTTCGAATTCTGATATGGTGACGAGCTGATGCAGACGAGTTCCTTGGTCCGGAGGAGGGGGCTTGTACGTGCGTCGCTTTCGATGAAAGGAGTCATTCTAAAGGCTTCCCTGCTGATGGCCCACGTACAAGCCCTGCCGCTTGGACATGATAGTATAGTCACAGCACCAACAGCAGACAAGACTCGAGTCGCTCTGCAGGCTTCTCCAACATCAAATACAGGTCAGGCAGGCCAAGGCCGGCTTTGCGAAGCATCGGTGTAACATCGTCTAGGAGGCAATTGGGCAATTGGGAAAGTGTAATATCCAGATGCCGAGGATGTTAGCTATTCGCTCTGCCCTGGACGGTTCAAGGGTGATCGTGTAACGCCGCTCCCTTGGAATGGTGATCATGCAAGATGCGCGCATCAGAGATCACATTGTGTGCGAATCAAGGAACTCCAGTCGTATGGCGCCATGATCATCAAAGCTCTCTCTTTGAAGCCCTTTGGGGGCCAGAGCTTCCGCTTTTTCCCGCAGTTGGTCCTTACCGAGACAAGCAGGCTTCAGCCTCTTTGCCTGACAGCTGTTACTCTGTGGTTCGTTCTCGGATGATCACAGCCACACTTGTCTTGATGCGGCGGCACCTCACTGTTGGCTGGAGGTGGGCTTTGTTGACTTTGACATCCTCCGACACCGTAAAAGAGCTGCCCATTGTTCTTGGACTTCCGAATTTGGTCATCATATATTATCTTTGAGTCCCCATATAATCCTTGCTATTCATTCGCAAGGTACGGTCGGTGAGTTCCAAGTCTTCCAGATAGCTGTCATTCAGCCTCTGCCGATTACGCTTCACCACCGCACGCTACCCTGAAATCAGGCCAATGTGATGGCAGCAGCTTTCACAAAGGAGACAATATCAAATCACTGAGTTTGCTCCAGAGCTATACCGAGATGACATTGAGATAGTCCTTTCTCTGAGCACGGTGATGAAAAGGTTGTTGTTGACCTGCACTTGTCGCCGCTTAACGGGGTCTGTACATTGTACATTGTGGGTATAGCCGTCTTTGTCTGAAGAGACCGCATATAGCCTGTAGATGATGAAAAAACCGGGTCACAAGGACGAACCACAGATCAACTCTCCTACAACATATGAGCAGCCTGCTACAAATATCACTTCCTGTCGACATTAACAATAACCACATATATATTGACACCCGAACTTTGTCATCGCCTATGGAAGCCGGCAAGCTGGGCGCCTGAGAGACCAGAATGGCATCATCTAGGGTTCTTCGGTGCCCCTCAGTTTTGCGACGATACATGTCCTCAACTGTCCAATGCTCTAATGGCTACGACAGCACAATTGCCAACTTGAGGTTAGATGGAGATACCGCTGTCATATATCAAGGTAGCCTATCCTTCGCTCAATCTATGTCCTAGCCCTTACTTACTGACATCACGTAGGGTTTACTGGGAAAGCTGTGAATATGAGACCCCGCTCACTGCCCTGAGAGTCACGCTGACGAGGAGACGCTGCTTCAAGGCGACCGCAAATGCCAAGGACACCATTGCTTATGGCACTCGCATTGTAGGCGGAGTCTCGCCTGGCAAAGGGGGATCCATCCACCTCGATTTGCCAGTCTTCAATACCGTTGAGGAGGTGAGAGCTGGAACTGTCATAATCCCATGTCGTATTCTAACACTGCTCGCAGGCCATGAAAGCCGTCCGGCCTCATGTGAGCGCTGTCTTTGTCCCTGCGAGATTTGCAGCCAAAGCCATCATGGAATCAATAGAGGCCGAAGTCCCCCTTATCGTTTCAGTGGCAGAGCATATCCCTGTGCATGACATGTTACGGGTCCATGAGATGCTTCGTACTCAGAGCAGGACGCGCTTGGTAGGGCCAAATTGCCCCGGGATCATAGCTCCGGAACAGTGCCGTGTCGGAATCATGCCGTATAAACAGTATCGGAGAGGCTGCATAGGCATTGTCTCAAAGTCGGGCACTCTGAGCTATGAAGCTGTTGGGGCCACGACTGCAGTTGGGCTCGGACAGAGCACAGTGTTGGGTATGGGGGGTGACATGCTTCCAGGTGAGACAGCATATTCACCCTTTATAAGTAGATTAACCAGTAGAAGTCGGCTGACGTCCTGGGTAGGTACTACCTTGGCGGATGGCCTGAGACTCTTCTTCGAGGATGACGAGACCAAGGGCATCATCGTGATTGGAGAAATCGGCGGAGAAGCGGAACTCAGAGCGGCCGACCTGATCCGGGAATATCGCCAATCAACGCCCAATCCCAAACCAATTGTAGCAATGGTGGCCGGGAAGACGGCTCCACTGGGAAGGACCATGGGCCATGCGGGTGCTGTGCTCACACCCTGGGACGTGCCCGCAGATATCAAGGCCAAGGCTCTCGAGGATGCCGGGGCGGTGGTGGTGCCGCATCCAGGAGTTATGGGAGTGACCATGAAGAAGCTGCTCGAGGTTCAACTATGAATAACTAGATAACGAACAATGGCATGACAGAAAAACATGACGTGGCAAGCAAAAGACAAGAAATGCATCAACCCATGACAACACATGACAAGAAATAAAGAACCGGCCAGAATACCTATGCCTCAACCACCTGGACCCCTTTTCCTCTTGATTTTGTGGTGAACTTCGTCCATATGTCGTTTGACATTGTCCGGCCTCTCCAGTATCGCTTCGCATAACCTGCACTGCTTCCTGATCGGCGTACGGTTGGTCTCCTCAGCCCATTTGACGTGTCTGCTCCAGATATGCTTCTCAATCTCCTTGTTGAACTGTGCGCGGTAAGTACAGCCTTCAGGCTCTTTGGGACACTTCAAAGGCTTGGTATGCTTGCCACGATGGCGACTACGGCATCACCAGGCGTTAGTGAATGTCTTCCATGCACTCTGTGCTCGACATCATAGCATGGGTAGGTATCATGGCATCGTCTCCACGAGACGAAGGGCAATGAACTTACTTGAATTCATATCGCTTCTCGAAAGCCCTGTTGCAGAAATCACAGACGTACTGCCGAGGAGAACCAGAGGCCGAAGGTGCCGAGTCCATGCCTACCCCTGAAGAAGGAAGGGGCTCGGCCGAGGTACCAGTAGCTGGCGGTTCAGCTAAAACTCCACCGCTGAAATCATTCTCGCAACTAAATTCAGAAGAATCGGACATTGATGAGGAATAGGGAGATGTTGAATAGAAAGCGTCTGTGTGATCCTCCTCCGCGTTCAAATCATTGCTCGCTCGCGCCTGATATTCCATTTGCGAGCTGCCATTGGGAGTCTAAGTCTCCTTCTGGGAGCATTGGACCTGATACGGAGAAGGGCCAACATTAATATCCATGCCCATGACGAAGTCCATCTCAGCTGACATCTCGCCAACCCCTGGAGGCGTCTCCGTAGTACCCGTGTGACTGAGCAGTAGGCTCGGGTCGATTGTGGACCCCTGGGAGAAGTCCTGTGCGTCGTATGCAATTTGGCTGATTGGTAGGGTCTCAAGCATCGCACCGGTGGTGTCCTCGCGTGGTAGCTGCCATTCTTCGGCTTCGTATCCTAGCATAGGATTACTGGCGGCGGCCTTGAACGGTGGGCTGCCATCTGGGTCCATTCTGGGCAGCGGCAATATGCTCTTTCTAGACACGGTGCTCAAGCGTGGACACCTAGATTCCGTTTCATCGACGTGCGAGAAGGAGCTTGCTCAGGTTGCCAATCACGGCGATATTCTGATCCACCTCCTCGACCCCCGGTTGCTCTGCACTTGATCTCACGGAGTGGGTAAATGAAATCCACCCCTTTCAAGTGCCACCGACTAGATGTACCAGGGCCACTGGCGTGGATTCGCTTTCCCAGAAGGCGTACTGTGATGCTCCAGCTGGTTGCGTGCCACACCATCTACATGTACCCAGCGGTCTTACAAGGACGGCTGAGAGGAGCACAGTATTCCCACCGAGCTCCGAATATAAGTTTCTTTCGAGCTGTGACTGGAGAAGACACTGTGAAGTAGGCTGACGAGGGGGTGGATGTTCAAGTCAGCGTCGACTGAAGCTGGAGATTGAAGTCCAAGGCTTGTATATACCGTGTATAATATCCCTTGATCATGCAGAAGGGGGGCTAGTCGAAAGACGAGATATAAGAGGCAAAGGGCTTCCACCTAGAGTGCGAGCGTCTTGATGAGACGCAAAACGAAGGTTTATCAATATAGATCCGCTTGGCTCTTGGCCATGCCAAAGTGGCTGCTCCGTACGATATGACCACACAATGATCTTTAGTCGTCGACTAGACTCGCGTGGGAAGGGGAGTTTCGAATCCTGGCGGGCGGCCGACGATCATAAGTATTCCAATCCCTGTCCTAGGGCGGAGTCCGTGTACGATTTGATAGTGGAGTCGCAGTCTGCGAGATGAGGGAGGACGGCGTGTGCTGATAGGTTCGAGCCGCTGTTTTGGTGCTGAATTCACCCAGCATTGTGTGAACCTTTCGTCTACCATCTCTGGAAAACGATCACTTGCTCTGTCCAATAGCCATCAAAGGTCTTGCGTTATGCCTTAGAGCTAGTGCATATCTGCCCAACTTCTTTTCTCTCAGAGGGAAGGGCTTCTACTGTACCAAACTGTGATGTTGGAGCTCTAAACGAATGACATGTGTGAGCCTTGTTTGTGTGCCTTTGGCCAAACGCTGGCCAACACATGGTAACCCTGTGAGCCCTGCACGTCGCTTGGAGACTAGACGCCTGCAAGGGTTCCACGCTCACAATCGGCCACCCACAGCTTGTAGACCACCCGCAGACCTGTAGGATCCAATGGGAGGGATACACTTCATTCGACGGGGTTCCCCCAAGACCCATCACAGCCTGGTTCCAGCTTGTCGGCCGCCCAAATGTGTCTGAGACGCAAAAAGGTTACGGGGTCACAGCGAGGGCGGCCCCCGGGCTGACAGAGCAGCAAAGTGTGTGTAGCACTGCATCCAATGATAAAGCGTGTATCGCCGTGTTGGTCCAGAAAAAGTGTATGAACTCGGAGCAGCGATTCGCCTTGCCGCGCTCGAGGTTGCGTACAATGATGCCATGCAACAGCTGGATTGCCGAGCCACGTTGCTGTAGGACTTTGGGGACTGTTTCGAGTGGTGTAATGATGGGATGGAAGCCGAACGGCAGCTTGGATAAGAGGATGCTGATGAGGGGAAATCTTTACAAATAGAGTAGGGTCGGATGTCATTTCTTGACGATTGCCCACCTCAGTACAACGGCATCTTCTGCTTCAACAGCCACCATATTGTCAGTCAATCGGCGACGTGCGAGAAACCACCGGTATGCAAAAAGACAGTCTTTGAGGAAACACATCACTCGGCTAACCGATCTTCGAAAGGTGCAAAGCCCAATATGACCGAGCCCATTCCATTGCGATGGAAATTTTCTCGCCGCTTCTATGAGCCCATCCTTCTCGAGGTGGTGTTAAAGAAGATCCGCCCGCCCGACTTTTCCGAATCTCAGCACGCGCCCAACACCATCAGAGACAGCAGCGATAGTGCGGAGCCGACCTTTAGATGTTTCGTGAATAGACTCGCGCAGGTTTGCGATAACCTGCGAGGAGCGAACGGGGCTACCGTTACGGGCATTGCCGTCCTGTTGGAGCCTGAGGGTGTTCACTACATCATTGGATCCAACAACCGGAGAGCAGCAAGGCTTCATGAAGTTGGAGTCTTTGTCACGGAGTTGCTGAATATTGCAGCCAGAACGACAGATCAACAGGCGGACGGAGGTCTGCAAGTGCATGGAGAAGCTCTGTGGCACGTTCTCAGGTTTGACGAGAATCGTGTTCGATTTTACCTGACGAGCACGGTAGAACATTTGCAGTCGTGTATTGATGATTACGATAGAAAATATGAGACAAAGTCGTTGGGTAAGTCTCGTCCTGCGTCGACTTTTCTGCGGACTGAAACTTATCTAGGTATCCTTGTCGGGCCAGCAGCGGAAGCATCGAAATTCAGAAGACAACTCTCCGAACTGACGCGGCTCGTCAGAATCGCTGACGACCGAACGCTTGACGAACGAGCATGTACGTCTCTTGAGACTGTAACCATCCAAACAAACCACTAACAACATACAATATCCAGACTTTGCTGCTTGTAAAGCCCTATTTCTGTTCATTCATGACGCTCACCGTCAGAAATTGGGCGACTCCATCTCGGAGCAGGCACGAGATGGTGAAATCGACAGCAAGAAGAACTGGAAAGACCTTCGCCACTCTGTTGGCCGATTGCACTCATATTATCTCGCCGTCAAGACCATTGTTCGTGCGAGCAGCCTCTGGAAGCGATTATGCCACGATTTCAAGGTGACGGTCATTCCATCGGCTCCAGTTCACCCGCACCCATTATACAGGAAGCGACCAGTTGCAAGTGAGATACTTGGAAGAATATCTTCTGATGAGGGCAAGATAGCCACATACCGCTCCTTGGCTGCCGGGCTGCAACCGCTGGGGCTGGATCTAGGCATCTTGGAGGAGTGCAACGACTTTTCTCAGACGCACATGGTTCATGCTGAGGTCCTCGTCCTGGACTACGTATTGAAGTACATGCAGGAAAACGATGACACCGAGTTTTGGAACAACTGGCGGTATATCGGGAGCAGCAAGCCAATCTGCCGTCTCTGCAACTACTACTTCACTGCCCACACAAGCGGAGTGCAGGTGCGCGAGTCGCACAACAACCTGTATCCTCACTGGCGCGCCCCGGATGTCTTTGACGAAGCTGCGATGAAGGCGACGGAGAAGCTGCTTGACGCAGTCATCAAGAGGACCAGAGCTGATGTAGTGCGGTCGCTCGAATCGCAGAGAGCGCAAGGGAGGCAGTTTGACTCTAACTCGTTCTCGTATCAGCCATGGCAAAAGACCGCGACATCTGTCAGCGAACTTATTTCCAACAGGCCATCTGTCAGCGACCTTATTTCCAATTTCACGAACTTGAGGACTATCGACGAGGAGGATGGGAGGAGCACTGCCGGGGAAGTGCATGATGATGACGAGGAGGGTAGAATCGTGTTCAAAGGACGGAGATCACTGGCAGCTCGTGGTTGAAGATTGCTTTTTCGAAGGGTTAAGGATCAAAGAGCTTCGGTCTCCTTTGACGAGTAAGCTAAGGGCCTACCTAGGATGGTGTTGCTGATGTCGAATTGACGCGAGTATGATTGATCGTGGTGCTATCGTTGGAAAGCAGAGTCGCTGTCTAGTGAAACAGCATACGCCATAACAACTACAGCATCCTGGCAGCCTGTGCGTCTTTGTCGACTTGACAAAATGTGATTTTGTTGCCAAATGGATCAATTACCGTGAGCTCCTGAGCATCCGGTCCCCCGTAACCTTTCTCCAACCCTGGCCTCATATACCTGTAGTTCTTGGCGATGAGCTCCTCGTGATATCCAGTAATTCCCTGTCCCATTAAGACGCGGATTCTGACGCCCGGGCTTCCATCTCCATGATGTTCGCTGAGATGCAGGATGAGATTGCCTTTGGAAATTTGGCGATATAATGGTGCGTTGTCGTCGAAACGGTGATCCCAGTCTACCGTGAAACCGAGGAAGTCGAGGTAGAATTCCTCGGCCTTTCTGGCGTCGAAAATGCGTAGAACTGGGACAACTGACTGGAATGTTTGTTCCATTTTGGGTGCAATGGCTTTGTTCTTGCAAAGGTCTCTGTCAATGACGACCCTTGCGGCGGAAACTTGGATATGATGAAAGTTGAACGTTTGAGCCTACGCACGATTTGGGCTCTTGAAGTGAAGCCCGGATAGCACTGCTATGGAGATTAGGTTACACGTGATAGAACGGATCAAGCCTACCCGGTGACTGAAGACGTAGATCGTCAACTGATGCAATCGGCAATACGAGGCAACTTGATGTGAACAGCGCAGCGCAAGTCACATCATGAGCTGCAATTGTATACTTTCCATCGCAGCTATCGTCAGATGCATCAATTTCTGTTCTCCCAGACGCTGTGGCTTCGAGGTATGCAATAGTGTAATAAGCGGTTTATCAAAAGTCCAAATGTGTGGCTAGAGGCCAAAGCATCCTGTAAAGCAGTCGGATGATCTCGACGAAGTCAACATGTTGCCGATCGAATGCGATGCCAGACTGATCCAAAGATGCAGCAGGGTCCATGTCGTAAGCGTCTCCTGCATCAAATCGAAAAGAAGCCCAAGCTCCAAGGCCGTCTTCGGGCCATGTGCAGCCGACTTCGGGTGCGGGGGAGATGCAGCCGGTCATGCTGAACGAATCGAGGCGATCCATACTTGGGCTTCGGGTTGAGGCAGCCGATGCGGAGGTGCTGGTTTTGGGCAGATCTGGGGAACTCGATAGCGGAGATTCCATGCAGGGAGTCCTGGACGACATCGTGATCAACTGACTCTTTGCAGAGCTGAAGTTGGTAAGTAATACCTAGACTTGCACTGCATTTACGTGTTCCAGGCTGGTGATAACATTTCTCTGAATGGCGAATTACAGACGGCCATGTGTATCGATGGTAGCAATCGGGTGGAAATGGTAAGGATTCCGGACGTAATATCTGATTGTGACGGGGCTACTGTTTGGCGGACATGCTATCACCCACTGCATGGTCACCAGCCAGTCATCACAAACTCGCGATTAGTGGTCTAACACCAGGTGGCTTTTCCATAGTTTGCAAGAAACGATATCGGACGCGAATAATCTATTGACTGTCCACGTGGCCATGGTGAGGCATCAATGGTAGAATGTCTCCGTGAGGCCGTTGCCTTGGTTGTGTGGTCTCCCAGCATGCGTCCCTTCGTTCAAATAGTCTCTTTTGTAGCATGACTGGCCCGATTATCTTTGAGGAGCTTCACTTCATAAGGAGATGAGTTAACAAGAATTTCCCTGTTCACTTCATTGACCGAAATGGCCCATATCGTCAAGTTACCGACGTTCAAGCTGCAGGGCAATGTTTCCCAATCCCATGCCAGAGCCATTGCGGAGCACTGGACGCGAGACTTTGAAGATGCACTCAAGAGCAACGCCAGAGAGAAACTCGAAAGATTGTTTGTCAAGGATGCCTGGATCCGCGACTTGCTCGCTCTGAGCTGGGACTTTCGCACTCTTCAGAGTCGTGATAGCGTGCTCGATTATCTTCAAGAGAATCACCATGTCGGCATCAACACCCTTCGCCTTCGGGACCACGGAGCATTCCAACCCACCTTTAAGAAGCCATATCCAGGCATGCAATGGGTCGAAAGCATGTTTGACTTTGAGTCACGACACGGCGTTGGAAAGGGCATGCTTCGACTGGTGTTGGACGGCGACAAGGGCGATGAATGGAAGTGCTATCTGCTTCACTTTGTTCTCCAGGAGCTCAACGACTGCAGAGAAAATACAGGCTTTACTCGCCCTGAAGGATATGTCGATACGTCAGGCGGCAACTGGCAGCAGAGGCGTGAGAGGCAAAGGGAGTTTCTCGATGAAGATCCGGCTGTGCTCATTATTGGGGGAGGGCAGTCCGGTCTTTCAGTTGCGGCTCGACTGCAACAGATTGGAGTTCCCGCACTGATTATCGAGAAGAATGAGCGCGTTGGCGATAGCTGGCGCAAGCGCTACAAGGTATGACCAGACAAAGCTCTCTACAGACCTCATGATACCTATGCAGTCGCTCACCCTGCAACATATAGACGCTCATGACGCATGACCCGATTCAGTACTGCCACCTCCCGTATATCCCCTTTCCCGCCCATTGGCCTTTGTTCATGCCAAAGGACAAGCTTGCCGATTGGCTCGAATCCTATGCGAGTCTGATGGAGCTCAATGTTTGGTGTAGCACTGAGTTGCTATCCTCCTCGTTTGACGACGCCGCCGGAGTCTGGACTGTAACAGTGAAGCGGGCGGATGGTTCAGCACGTACCATCAAACCGAGGCATGTCATCCTTGCCACAGGAAACGCAGGTGATGCCATCATCCCTCACTTCGATGGCATTGATAGCTTCAGGGGAGCCGTCTACCACGGGAGCCAACATAAAGATGCATCGGAGCACGCCAACCTCTCGAGCAAACACGTTGTGGTCATTGGCTCTGGAACATCCTCTCATGATCTCTGCCAGAACTTTTACGAATGCGGCGCCGCATCTGTTACGATGCTGCAGCGTGGCAGCAGCCATGTTATGACGGCTAAGAAGGGCCTGGCCATGCTCCATTCGGGGACATACGAGGAGGGCGGGCCGCCAACCGAAGACTGTGACGTGTATAGCCAGAGCATGCCGATCCCAGTTCAGTTCGCGACCAACGTGTTCAAGACGAACGAGATCAAAGTAGTCGATAGGGATATCCTAGAAGGACTAGAGAAGGTCGGATTCCAGCTTGACTTTGCCGAAGACGGAAGTGGCATCTACCGCAAGTACATCACCAAAGGAGGCGGCTACTATATTGATGTCGGATGCAGTCAGCTCATCATCGACGGAAAGATCAACTTGAAGGCGAACCCCGGAGGCATCAAGTCCTTTACTCCGGATGGGCTGCTTCTCGCAGATGGCTCCGAACTCAAAGCAGACATTGTCCTTCTCGCAACAGGCTACCAGACAATGCACAGCACGGCACAGAGCATTTTCGGAGACAAGGTAGCTTCGAGGCTGGGGAAAGTATGGGATCTGAATGAGGAAGGCGAAATAAACTCGGTGAGGTCTCCCGACATATCATGGTAAGAATGCAGCTCAGCTGACATACGTTTCCCCCTGCAGATCTGGCGATATAGCGGACATCCCAACTTCTGGTTCATGGGTGGCAGCCTGGCCCTGTGCCGGACTTACTCGCGCATGCTGGCGCTGCAAATCAAGGCGAGTGAATTGGGTATCTATGAGGCACCCGGGAAGAAGGCTATGAGCAACGGTGTACATAACGGGGTGTGAAGCAAAGATAGGAAGTGAAGGTAGCCAAAACCATTGATGTACTCTGTATAACCTAGCTTGCACGTGTAACAGGTACACAGTCAAGGTAACTGAGTGTCTTGCTTGAGATATTGTTGCAATTATTCATGGCTGGCTTGCTTCTGAGATTTCGCAGGTTGCTCTCATCATGATGCCCCATTCATTCGGCCTCGGGCAAACAAACCCTCCCTCCAACTGCAACCCTATGGGGATTTATGTATTATATAACAACAATTGTCGATTGGGACAGCGCGCGAGGAAGCGACCGAGATGGGGCTATTAGGGGGGATTGCCAACAATATAGTCAGTGAGAGTGTCCCCGGCGTCTTTCTTTCCCCCTTTGGAGCCAGCCTCGGCGCGATGTAACGAAGGAAAAATGGAGATACTCCGACTTTGTCCGTCAAGAGCATTTGACCAACGTCTATTTGATACTGACGCTCGCATTGCAGTCTATCTTCCCTTTCTAGCCTCCAAGCTCTGGCATGGTCTTCTTCTTTAGTGATACCAAACTTCAGAACGCAGGTCCTTCCACGCTTTATGCTCTGACGCCATATCCCGCAGAGACCCTGGTTGCTCGATCGTTTTCGTACGTGATATCAGTGGTAAACGTCGATTCGAGTGTTGGGCATAGGTATGATTCGTAGCTGAGTCGAGTCGTTAAGATGAGAGGCACTATGAGCATTATTGAGTAGAATGTAGCTTCGGTAGCTGAAGCTGATAAGGCTCTCGATCTAGAGTGTTTATGTGTGAAATCGTCATTGCCTCGTAACACGTCGTGTCTATCGTATATGCTAGCTCTTTTCTTCTCTTCTCTCCCTCCTCATCTTTCTCTCGTTGTCTTTCGTTGCTCGTCCATTATAGATCAGGAACAGGATCGACCTTCTTGACAACCCTCGCCGGCGAGCCAACCGCAACGGAGAAATCGGGAATCGACCTGGTGACGACGCTTCCCGCCCCTATCGTGCACCCCTTACCAATCGTCACGCCGGGCATGATGGTCGTGTTGCCTCCGATCCAGCAGTCGTCCCCAATGGTGACGCTGCCGCCGTATTCGATGCCTGCGCGGCGTGAAGCCACTCCCGTCTCGTGCGTGGCGCCGAAGATGGACACATAGGGGCCGAACATGACGCGGTTGCCGATGGTGACCATTCCGCAGTCGAGGATCACGAGGCTAAGTTGAGCAGAGAAACACTATTGTTAGCAGCTGATGGAGCTAAGAGTGATGCGTCCCTCTTTCCTCGGGTTCGACGTACTTGAAGTTGGCGTAGAAGTCGTCTCCAATCGAAATGTTACAACCGTAGTCGACGTTGAAAGACGTCTCGATGAAGGGGTTCTTCCCAATCTTGCCCAGCATCTCGGTCAGGATCCTCTCCCGCTCGGCCACCAGCGAGTCGTTCGTGGCATCGTCGGGGAAATAGCTGTTGTATTTGTGCATAAGTCTCCGGGCACGAAATCTTCCCTCGATAAGCTCCGGCGCCTGAGAGTTGTACCTGCGAGAGAGAGATAGCGAGGATGAATGTCAGTGTGAATTCCAGCGGAGGAGACAGGTGAGAATAAAAAGATCATAGCCTTACAGCATCCCCGAGATCATCTTCTCGTAGTCCTCGCACCATGGGATGTGGATGAGAGTCTTTGCGTGCTCAATCGCAGCTGGGTCTTTCTTCGTGCTAGCCATGATGATGACAACGATGCCAAAGGTAGAATTTTCTTGAAACTTGGAAAAAGCCACCACCAAGATCGGCACTCAGGAAGTCGACTACGAGGAGGAGGGGGCAAAAGAGAAGATCACTTGAGGCAAGACTTCCTCCGCAATAATATACCAAAGACAAAGCCTCACTTATTTCATGCCGGCGAGCACAAACGTGTTCATAGTGTCATGTCCCTTTTTGTTCTTCACTACCTTGTGAAGGCCTCAGTGGCGGGGGTCCCCCAAGCATTAGAGCCAGTCAGCAGCACCCTTTCCTGACCCCCTTCGCACCCCCCCTCTCCTCTCTCCTCGAACCCGCTCACTATTTGGGATGCTGTAGTGCAAATGGGTCAATGGGATGCTTGAACAGTGTCCGAAGAACACCCGCTAGGTACGGATGGAGGCTGCAAGTTCCTTTAGTGATCCTTTTAGTTATAAGCGGGAATACCATCTTCAGCTATCGGCCGATCCGGCTGGCTCCCCACTACCAAGCACTGTGGAGATGAATGCACTGAGACAAGACCTTGAGATGGATTGTACAATCCGAGGGACGAATCACGGGGTTCGCCGTTCGATTATGTGCAGCTTAGATGGTTATGCCGAAACCCGCGCTACCTTCTATGGGGCTCCTTCACGGTGAGCCAAGTTTCAGACATGAACTCATGTGTTCCACTATGCCTAGGTGCTCTATCCGTCCCCCCCTGGGGAGAGGGAAAGAGAGAAGAACGTACAGCGAGAAAAGAGAGCTAAGAAGATTCCCCAGCCAGCTGAACCGCCTTCTCTGCCGCACGCCCAAAATCCGATTCGACGTGGAGCCCAAGGTCTGCATCCGCCAGCTATTTTGTCCGCTGTAAGTCGGTCATCTGTCATATACAAAAATAACAAAAAGAAGTGCGGTGTGTAGCAAGGGGGAGGGGGGAAGGGGGGAGGGGATATCCTCCGGGACCAATCTGCTGGTACGACTCCGTACTTTTGTGCATTGGCAGTTACACAGACCACTCACCAGCTTCAATCCTTGCGTCGAATTGGTTCCCTGAAGGCGCACGACAAGTGGGACGGCCAGGGTCATCTCCTGCGCGGCTCCAATGATGGATTCGGCAATCATGTCGCAGCGAGTGATTCCTAGGTTAGGAGGTATTCACAGTGTCAGTTCCGGCCTCCGATAACATGGCGTCTGAATAGAACGGAAGAGACGACAAAGAATGAAAGCACTTACCTCCGTAGATGTTAATCAATATCGCTTTTACCCGCTCGTCGCCCAGCACGATGCCGAGAGCTTGAATCATCGTCTCCTTGGTCGCCTGACCCCCAGCGTCTAAGAAATTAGCACTGGCCCCGCCGTGAAGCCCGATTGCATCGTTTGTGGCCATCGCCAGACCTGCTCCGTTGACAATGTTGCCAATGTTGCCGGTGAGCTTGATGTAGACCAGGTTGTGCTGCTCTGCCCTGACTTCATCCTGCACCTCCTGACTCGTGTCGCGCAGGCGGAAGAGATCTGGCTGGCGATGTGCCGCATCGTCGTCGACGACCAGCCGGGCATCGAGGCAACTGAAGAGTCCAGAATTTAGTCGAGCCAGAGGGCTGATTTCTAGCAAAGTTGCGTCTGTTTCTTTGAATATCCTATAAGATCTTGTGAGGATGTCATCGAGATTCGTCTCTTCCTGGTCTGCTACACCGAGATGTCGGGAAATCTGCGAGACCACCTCATCAGTGATACCTTGCGTGAAACCAAATGCAAAGGAAGCGCCTTTTGCGGATACGTTATTTCCAGAGATATTCCCTTCTCTGCCGCTGTGATCACATTTGCGGACGATGACCGTGGGACAGTACTTCTCCCGGTCAATGGTCATGGCCATGTACCACTGCTCTCCGTGAGCCAGCCCTTCGGACACCAGCAGCTTGTTGACAGTCAAGGACCGATGGCGCATGTTCTCCGAGATGGCCTGACGATTAAGCATCCTCGTGGCCACCTCAAGTCCCTGCTCTGGGCTGTCGACTGTCTGGATGCCCCCTCTCAGCCCACCTTCAAAAAGGAGCTTGTCCAGGTGCCCATGGAGGACTTGGGCTCGTAGGATGCAGCGTTTACCTAAAGCCTTTACGGCATCCCGAGCCTCGAGAGGCGTCTGCGCCAAGATTGCTCGCGGGACTGGAACTCCGTGCTACGGATCTCTGGTAAGCGTTTAGTAATCTTGTTCAGCATCGCCAACGCACTGATCTGAGGAGTTGTTGAGTATCATAGCCGTGCAAAGTTAGTTGTCTTCGCTGCTGTTTCGACGACCAGAGCTGTAGAACATTAGCTTGGTCTCACAGCGCAGTCCTCTTGTTCACCTCTCCATGTACTTTGTCCAATACCCACTGGAATCTCTGAAGCGGCTATAGTAGTAAACAGCATACCTTTGGTGGTAGAGTCAGGGACCCCGCCCGGGTTATCGTAGCCCGAGATAGATTCATCTGAAGCTTCTCTGAGAGTGGACTTGCAGGGATACCGTTGCCGGCGTAGAAAAACGAAAGCCACTTTCTGATTCAACACTCTATCAGATGAGAGGGTTATATAAAAAGACAGGTTGCTTATTCTGAATACGATATGTGATTCGGCGAGATGCCGTGTCAAGCCCCTCGTTCCCTCGAGTAGCCGAGTCCAGTTGGAGACCACCTCAGCAGGCGGGTTACATGTACTACCAAGTATCCCGTCCCTGCAAAGTGCGGCCCCCACAGACTTGTCGTTAGCTAAGGTCCGAGGCTTATGGACATTCGGGACAGCGGATAATAATACTCGAAATACCCAGATGGCCCACTGTTAACGTGACACAGTTCACGGTCTTAGCGGTACGAAGCTGGTGACGGAAACTACTGCATACAATCGATGATGGCACCATGATGACGAAGAGATAGAGCATCGTAGAGATGTGTCCAATCTCCACACAATTTATTATTGTAGCAAGATAGTTTGAGATCCATTCGTGACTTTGGACCTGAGAGAGTTATCAAGCAGAAAAAATCATACTCATCGGTGCCCTATGCTTTCTTGATAATAGTGGCCTTCATTATCACCACTCCGTCCCTCTCTGCCACCAACTCGGACACCAAGTCTGTGTAAACGGATACGACGGACAAGGTTCGAATTTGATATTCCTCTCCTGCATAGACAGGTGATACGGCCCTGTAGAAAATCTCATCAGGACTTGTACCCTGTCCATGGATGTCTCTCCAGTAATCCAGCAAGTTGATGACATTTAAGGGTCCGTGAACCACGACGCCAGGGTGGCCCTCGGCGGTCCTGGTCCAGTCTTCGTTGTAATGTATCTTGTGGCCATTGAATGTCAGAGCTGAAAATCGAAAGAGGCCAACGTGGGACCACGACAGCTTGCGGACTGGGAACGCTGGAGTCAGGGGATGGTTAGTCGACACAGTTGCCGTATGAACCGAGCATTCAGCATAGTAGCAATAGCACTCACAATTGTTGTCCAATATCACATCAGACATTGAAGACGGAGCTAGGATGCTGCCGTTGACACTCCGAGGGGCCACACCCCCCCGAGCATCAGACTGCCTTTGTATCACTGGTCGAAAGATCCACGATCTTTTATCGACCAACGCCAGCCCTTGTGTTCCGTAAAGCTTTTTCTCTACCTCGACAAGTACCATCTCACCAGCAGATCGACTCGTCTTGGCCACCGCACTGATGAGCTTCGTGTGCTCTTCCGCCTCGTCCCCTACTCTCAGGGGGTTCCCCCTATCGAACTTGATGTGACCACCTGCCCACATCCTCCTTGTAAACGGGGCGGGCGCATTGAACGCTCGGTCACTCCCGTCAGCACCAAGATCGGCTTCGACATCGTCTGGTGTGAAGTAGACAAGGTGGTGCGCCGGGGGCACGGGAGTGCCCGCAGGCGCACTCATCCTGCGCATGTCGTGGCCATCAAGGACTGGTCGGCCGAGTGTTACTGCGAGCTTTCGCAGTTGATTCGCGTCAATGTATTGGCTACGCTTGGTGACCTTTTGTGCAAAGTGCTCCATCATATGAGACGCCGCCTCGGCGGCTGTCCGAATTAGGGGGGCTGGCGTTGTTGATGAGTGACGAGTCGTTTGAAAGAGCAGCTGCTTTGCAACTCTCTTGCTGTACTGTATTCTCTTCATCTTGACTTTCGTCTGCAAACGCTGGTGAAATGCGACAAAATGGTGCCTTCGTGTCTGAGTTCAAGGCCTCAGCACAGCCCCCTTTTGATTTCTGATATTTTGTTGATCTGCTCCAGTTTTTCTCCTGTCGCGATATCTTGACCTCTCTGATCTCGAGTCGATCTGTTCTCCTGACTGATTGAAGCATTCGGCTACTTGAGCCTCGAGATGCCGACTACTATCATTCCAGCTAATAATTTGCGATCAGCTTACAGCGGCCGCCATTCCACTAAGACAGGTCGTTAGCTGCTTAAAATCATAGTGGCTAATTGCATCTTCTTTCTTCAATGGGTGAAAAATCGCTCGGCATCACTGCCTGTGCGTTACCGGTTTATGCCCGGATCGATGACGGCGTTGGGGCCATTAATGCCCTTGAATGTTGTATGATACAGAGGAGCTCATTGAAACTTGCAGATGATACTCCTTTGTCAGAATCTCATCTGCCTCTACTAACACCTTCTCCAGTTCCACTCATATATCATCACTCCACAAAGATTCCAGACTCAATCGTGTAAAAGGAGATTGAGAACCTCCACTTGCCCCTCGACTGAGAACGAATATCCGCCTCCTCATACTCTATATGGCATTATATTCGCTCCAGCCGCTCGCTTGTCAACCCTATCGCCGCCAGTCCCGCCCAGTTGTCGTCGTTGGAAGCATCAGATTAGGGGACCTCGTTCCCACATGCACACTTGCGGCCATGGCGGCGATTTAACGCCGCGAAGCGCTCCCGTCCCTGATAACTGTACGGGGCCGGTTTATACAAGTACGCTGGGAGAAGTGAGAAGCACTATGTGAAGCAGAGAATGGCATCACTAGCGATGCGTCGTTTCGGGGGCCAGATCGTAGCTCGCTACTTTTTGGGAAAAACTTACGCAGCCCCAGTCAACCGAGCGGCGTGTCTGGGTTGCCTGGAGGCAGATCTAAATTAGCCCTGAGCAAAACCACTCAACGTTTGGGACCCCAAGTCACCGCTAGATCTAGAACCTTGACGTGCGGCAGGATAAGCAGCAGTAGCCCCGGCCAGCGACTTTGACGCGTGCCTTAGCTCCCGAGAGAGTGCTCGGCCTGGTCTTGGTGTGGGGATGTAGGGGGGGAGCTTTTTCACGGAATACGGAGTGAGAAAAGACCACGGCCGCGGTGCTACCTGACATCATTGTCTGCCGGGGGATGTTTCCATGGGATCTTTGAGACTGCCTCGATATGGCAATGTTACATTTGTCAAGGACCCTGAGGGAGGACACGATGATCCATCAAAGGGGGGAGCAGCGGGCGCTGGCCCTATATCCGTGCCGCTAAGCCAAGCATCCACATACAACTACTCTGCTCACCGGGCGTAACTTTCACTCATACCTCAGGCAGATGATCGGGTAATCTGTAAGCCCTGGAGGCCATTCAGTCACCTGTCCGGCGTGCCATACAGTTGGCATTCTGCAGTTGCGACGGCGCATCACAGCTTCACGAGATAGTCCTGCAACTTATGAACAATGCCCCCTCACATTGGGTACCCATGCATAAAACACCTTCTAGTGAGTCCAGCCACACCCACAGGCAATCGCTACCACTCCATTACGAAGCATACCTGCAGCCGCGAACCGAAGAAGTAACATGGTGGTGAGGAGAGACAGGGAATTGATCCTTCAACCCTCAGCGCCGAGAAGACCGAATTTCTCCGCCTTGGACCAGCGAGAGGAGAACCCAAAGCTGAGGACTGTCACTCAACTGGTCGCAATAGTAGAGAGGAGAGAAGCCAATCACACAAGTAAGACAAGTCATTGTGTGCTCTGAGAGTCTCCGTTGTTTTTACGCCATCGTGAATTCTAGGTGCTATTGTCCTTGCAGGTACTTTCAACTGTCTTCAATTTCTGCAACTTGCAATAGCAATTCTAGATGCTCGCTCTCTTCCATGTAATGCGCGCCCTTGGCCTGCAAACCAACGTGCGATGTCGGATAGGTGACGCATGTGGCTCTGTAGATCGACAACCAACAGCTTCAAGCATTGTGATGTGTCGACACAAGACTTTCCGTATAAGTAAACACCCGCGACAATGAAGTATTGCAACAAAAATGTTTCTGCGAACAGTCTACATGCCCTCATAATCGCTCATAGTTGAGACTCTCACCGTAGCTGAATTGACAGCTTCGCCATGGCAAATTCACCTTCTCACGAAAACATTGAGATGAGCCGCGTCTCTGCGCCTCACAATGATCATGATGAGTTTGACCAGTCTATACATCATGCGCAAACACTCCCTCCAGCGGATCACGGTCGCGATGCATATGTCGCTTTGGCCTGCTGCACCATTGCACAGGCTCCCATCTGGGGTACTCCTCGAACCTCCGTCGTTGTCAACGCTGTAACAAATGCTCACAGAATCCCCCAGGCTACTCAGTATCGTTTGGCATCTTCCAGAAGTACTACAGCGACCCAATGCACGGCATCGATGCGTCCGCCGGGGCCATCGCCACCGTGGGGTCCATGCAAATGGGCATCATGTATCTCCTGATGCCCGTCTTCTTCACCATACTGAACAGATACCCATACCTGCGGCGCTGGTGCGGCCCTCTTGGACTGGTACTCACGGTGACGAGCCTGTCTGCTTCTGCCTTTGTCGGCAGCATCGCCGGTTTGATCGCGACGCAAGGAGCTCTCTATTCCATCGGATGCGGGCTTCTCTTCAGCCCCATCTCCCTGTATATGGATGAGTGGTTCATTGAGCGGAAAGGCATCGCCTATGGCATCATGTGGTCTGGCAAGTCATCTGTCGGCGTCGCAATGCCTTTTCTCTTCAACCTCCTGCTGCAACGGTTTGGGCTTCGAGCAACCATTCTATCCTGGGCCATTGCGTCGGCCATATTGATATCGCCAACACTTTTCCTCCTCAAGCCACGCATCCCCTTACATGCTATATCGCACACTCGGCCGCTGTCATTTGCCTTTCTCCGGCACGCTTCATTCTGGACGATGCAGCTCGGAATAGTCGTCCAGTCGTTTGGCTACCTCATGCCCAGCACGTATCTCGCCAGCTACGCCTCAGCCATTGGGCTTTCTTCGGTGACGGGTCCCATTCTGCTTGCGCTGTTTTCCATGGCCTCAGTGCCGGGATCGTTAGTCCATGGCTGGCTCGGCGATAAGCTGTCAGCAACGAAGGTCATCCTTCTCTCGTCCTTCGGCAGCGCCCTGCCTGTGTTTCTGCTCTGGGGGCTTGGCCACCAGATGAGTACAATGGTAGTCTTCGTCATCCTCTACGGCTTCTTTGCTGGCGGATTCAGCTCGACTTGGTCGAGTATGTTACTTGAGATCAAGCGAGATGACCGAGCTGCAGAGACGTCTCTTATCTTTGGCCTCTTGCTGGGAGGTCGAGGGCTAGGATATATGATTGGAGGACCGATCAGTGGTGCTCTTGTGTCGTCCAAAGGAGCCATTGCGGAGGAGCCATTGGGCTATGCTACCAAATACGGGCCCATGATTCTCTGCACCGGCGTTACTGCCGTTATGGGGGCTTGGGCTCCGTTGTGGAAAGGCGCGAGGATTGCAAGCAGGGCGGGAATGAAGACTTGCTCCCGTATATTTACCTCTACTGCGTGAATGACGGGGCTCATTCTGGCTACAAGTGTATAGGTAGGTATTCCAGAAAGGCTGCAATTCTATACCATGAGATGATGTGACTCCAAGCTCACCGCAGCGGTGACTGCGTAGGGCCACATTATCTCAGGCGTTCACGATAAACAAGACTGCAGTGCATCATGCTATTGCCACGTCATCACATCAGCACCGGAGTGATTTCAAATATGATTGAGTCTCATCATGGTGTAACAAGGGCCGTTGTACTGATCAAACTTATATCGAGATGCTAGTACCTACCACACGACTCAGTCACGAGACCTCATTACTGCCATGTCAATGTCCCAGCAACTTGGGATAGCCACGCCCAGATAGATACACTAATGCATCAGACAAGGGTGCTGTGGGTTGCTGAGCTATCATATGCTGTTGGTTGAGACTCTTGTTTTTATTCTCCGTGTGGTTCCATGCCTTGAGCAAGGGTAGTGTGGGGAAGATGCGTTAACTCTTCTTGAACAATCCGGGGATCTGGGCATGAAATGGTGGGAGTCTAGCGTGAATGGCTATTTAAACCAGGTCTAAGCCATCATGCGTAGGAGGGAAGCCGAATGAAACTTGTCAGAACAATTCAAGTTGAAGAACAACCTCAGCAACTACATAATACGTGATATGCCAAAGACTTGCTATGGTTATTATCCTGGTTCTCTCCCGGCATCATTTTATATAACCAGCTAGTGATAAGAGTTTCTGAAGCATCACACAGTGGACTCAATGTTCTTCTTCTCCAACATAGCCTTAATAGTTTCGACTTTCTCCAGTTCCTCCACATCCTGCATCCCAGTTCGCAGCACTCCATCTTTGTCAACTGAATGATAGAGGACCGCCAAAACGGAGCCTTTCCATAGAGGCATCTCTTTGGCACGATTCCCGGCAATCACAGCCCCCAAGAGTGCCATGCCTCCCAGGAACTGCACGACCAGCGGCAAGATGAGCCACCTCCAACGCACGCGGATATACAAAACTGCCTGACTCGTTTTGCCTTGTGCGAGCTTCATCTGCTTGCCCTCCCGCACCATGTCAGTCAAGCTAAGTGCGATGCTGTCAAAGATTCTCGACACCTCTTCCAGACTGCCGTTCGCAAATGCCGCCGTGGCTCCCGGGGCAAAATTGTCGAATCCAGCGTTTCCGTTGGTCGTACCGCAGAAAGCAGGCGAATGGAAGAAGTTGACGAGGTATTTGAGGTCCATCATGTCTATATAAACATCTGGTAAGCCATTGCCGGTATCGTTCCACCAGGCTTTGTCTTCGCGCGCACTGTACTGGTTAATGTGCCCCTGCTCGATGCCGGTGTATCTGTCGAGGTGTATCTTGTCCGTGGAGCCAATGGTGAAGTTGTTCAAGCTGGATGAGATACTGGAGTAATTGTATAGCGAGACACCAAGCGCACACTCTATGACGGCTGCTTTCCGCAACAGAGACTCAAACCGAACCTTTTCGTCAGTTACACGATTATAGTCGTCGTTCCTAGGATCCCAGTAAAAGAATGCAGCATTAAACAAGTCGGAGCCATTGAGGTAACCGGCTTCATCGTTTAGACTGGTCGAGTTCAAAATCTTGATAGCATTTTGCTTCGGTATAAAGTTTAGCTGCACACCTCTGGGGGTCGTCGTGTTGCAGAAATCCCCGTAGCCGTCGTAGAAGCCTTCGGTGTCTGAGAAATCTGTACAACAGTCGCATCTCAGATTCGCCAACGTCTGCTCCAAAACGTCCGTGCATGTACTTGTGAAGCCCAGGGTAACGTAGGGCTGGTCCCAGGTGCAGTTGGAAGTACAGTTGAAAGCCGATGTCCAACCAGACGGGCGGAGGCCCCTGATTACCGCGGATGGTGTGTCATTAGCCAAGTCTGCTACAGATGTGAAGTCAGACGTTTGTTCTCAAGGGGATCATAGGTGAGATGTCGTAACCAACAGTAGCCCAACAGCATCCTAACGCTCTTGGTGTTGCGAAACCCATGCGCATACCCAAAGGTTGCTGAACCTTCTTGGTGCGTATAGACCGTGCCTGGCTCAATGTGAACGACCTGTTGCGCAAACGTATCGGTGAGTAGCGACAGGATGACCACGATGGCACTGAGGCTTGCGAATCCCCACGATATCTGGAACAGCATCCGCAAGGATCCCAGAGGTCCGCGGCTTGCCGTATCAATGATAGCCATTTCCACAAGTCGATGCGGCCTCTTCCTGAAGCGCATCCACTTCGCCTGGCTGAGGCAAGTCGAGACGGCGGCGAGGAGTGTCGCCCTTGCTGCGGTTATTACAATGGCAACGGTGGCGTTGAAGCTGATGAAGAAGGACCATTTTGATGACAGCTTGTTCTCGAAATGGGCGAGGAGAAATACCAACCCACCCATGCATGCGAAGCTGGTGCACATTGTGATGATTTCAATCCACCATGTTGACGAGATCCTGGTCAGAAATCCCGTATGGCCATGGACAGACTCGACCGCAGCAATACCATCAGCGTTGTCGTGCTTGACACTGTTGTCGCCGCTCCCGGTGTTCTGAATCATGGAGGTCTCTTCAATCTCCTCTGCTGCATCTGACATCAGCGGTTGGTGAGTAGTACTCTCCTCCATGTCGACGAGTTCAACTCGAATTGAGCTACGCTGTAGTATTGGTCCTAGCTGATGAACTGTATCTGATAGGATTCAAAGTCGAACAGCAAAGCTGGCAAGATGTGGCAGTGAGCCATGAGAGGGAGCTTGATAACTAAGAATAATCTGTGGGATATGGCCATGAGGCTTTGACGAAACACAGGAATAGGCTGCCAAGGTTACAGCGTAGGCAGTGAAACCACAAGTAAGACTTCTAGAGAGGGGAAATGTCTCTGCATTGGCACCTGAATGGCGAACGTCTCACACCAGCGAGGCTCACTCTTGATGAGCGTTCTCAGCCGACACGAGGACAAAACGTGAACATATTTCACGCAGTAACGAAATACAGGGGTAATTATTTCATAGGAGTATCTATATGCCCTACTAGCACCTTTGCCTGGAAGCCGAGGCCATTCTACTCGCCAATCACTCACTTGGCGGTAACGCAGCCAGCCAGCGATGCCGCAAAAGATCCACCGTCGATGGACGCTCTGTAGGATCAATCTTCATCAAGAGTTTGAGAAACGACGCGCAATCATCTCTCTGCTCCTGGGACAAACCAGGCATAAAAGCTTCAGAAGCAAGGCCGGGGCGATTGAAAGGCTCCTGATCCTTGACACGCCCCTCGTCGTCAAAGATACCACGGACAAGATCTTGGTTTCCTCTGTCAAGAAGGCTTTTCGGGAACGGCCCGAAGAGATCAACAATCTCAGCCAGGTGTTCTCTAACGTCGTACCGTCCGTCCGGAGCTATTCTGCCATCAAACATTCGGACAGCACGGTAGACTTCTAGCACCACAGCACCCAAGTTCCACCAATCGGTAGACGCGTCCCAAGGAGCCCCAATCAGGACCTCCGGAGAGCGAAGGGCCACTGGTTGAATCACCTCGCATAGATGCCTATCGATCCAGCTGGAGACTCCCCAGTCTCCCAGAGTAACATCAAAGTCAATCAATCGAGTATTCGCCTCGTCGAAGTAGAAATGACCGAGCGGGCTATGGGGGATCGGGCGATACTTCGTCTCTTGTCTGTCCTGGTAGGGAATGCGCTGCTGAAGATAGCCAGATTCGATCCTGGAGTAGTCACGGAACTTGACAAAGATATTATCCGGCTTGATATCTGTCCATAGGACCTGGTCAGTATAGGTAGGGAACAAAGCAGGGTAATTTGCTGGTGCTACCTGTATGGATGATGTTGTGGTCATGGGCAAAATCAAGCGCTACCAAGAGCTGTATAGTGAACTTGCGCATGACTGACCCAGGTATCATGTTCTCACGGAACAAGGTGCCGAAGCTGCAAAGCGTTTCGCCCATAAGTTCAAAAATGAGGCATACATGGGTGCCGTTGGGCCCTTGATGCTCAAAATCATCAAGCAGATGACAGACGAAAGGGTAGCCAGTATGGCTCTTGTCACCATGGCGGAGATTGATCAAAATCTCTTTCTCGAATGTGCCGTGGCCTTGGCCGTAGCATATAGCACTCAATACCTTGAGTGCTCGGAACTGTTCGGACACATCGTCGCTACAACGACGAGCGTGAGCTGAGATGCGTATATTTTACCCCCAGCCGGGGAAGCGTGACTGGTTGTCTCTATCAACCTACCAGGCTTGAAGATCTCTGACGAGCCATACAGTTGAGTAGCGGCCGTATCCGATCTTGTTCAGAACTTTCCATCTGTCGTTGAAGATATCGCCAATGTATACCGGATGAAACCCGCCAGGTCGATATGCAGCTCTGCCCTCGTCGACGTCTTCTTCGGAGGCCGCATCCGGCTGAGGCGGAGCACTGAAAAGCTTCTGCTCATCAATGGGATATTGTGTCTGTGTTTGTCTCGATGAAGGCAATTCCGGTTCCTGCTGATTGGCATCCATGTTGAGCATTATCCTGCTATGAAAGAAGCTCCCTGCAGTGGATGGTGCAAGGCGATGAAGAAGGTTTGGTACAAAGCCCGGTTGAATATAAAGGTACAGTACGCGTTGTTTGCCTCCAGTATATGCAGGGGTCCCTACGCAGCCTTGGGCGCGTAAAGTGATGAATGCAACGACCTGTCACAGAGCCAACAAAGGCACCACCAACAATGAGCGGCAATTACAGAAAGTGGAAAAACAGCAAACAACAGGCGGCGGCCGTCTTTTAAGCCCCCAACAGGCAACTCTGACAAATGAGCGAGTACGAATACCACCCACAGAATCAAGGAGACATTTCAACCCTCGCCCTCGCCAGCTCCAGATTTCCATTCCCCAGCAGCAAGTCAATTTTATTGCCCTCCCAGCGCCTTGCGACCGTCTCCTCGCGAATCAAGTCGCGAATCTTTCGATCCCACAGCGTGTTTTCGTCGTCCAGCTCCTCGCTCTCGGCCTCCACAACGTCAATACCTCCTCCCGACAGCGTCTCACTTACAGGGTATGAGCCCGCAAACTCCCAGTCGAGAATGCCCAGGATCTCATCCCCCTTTGTCAAGATGTTGCGCCCATGAAAATCTCCATGGACAAGTGTAAACGGCTCATCCTCCATGTCGATTGCTGCAAGAGCATCTCGCTTTTGCTGCAGCTGCTTGATAAAGTTGGAGACTGAAGCCGGCCCAAACAGATTTTGTTCAACATCTTTCTCATCCGCATGCGAGTAATAGGAAATCTCTCGTTCATAGCAGGCAAGAATATACTCCTTGGTGGTCCTATAGGGCCCAATCGGATAGTATTGTTTGCTGTGGAACTTGTGTCGCCCTTTGAAGATCTTGGCACCTTCAACAGTCGGAGCAAGCTGAAAGTTGTCAGGATTCAACCCCCCAATCATGGGAAAATGAGTGTCCGCAAAGTCGACAGTAATTTTCGCTAGTTGTTTGGCCATCGACTCTTTCTGCTCGGGTGTCAGACTCATCCAGTTGGAGCTGAGCGGCGTGGCATCAATGTATTCCTCCGCTATGAACGACGTATCCTGCTCATCTGTAGCCTGATAGAAAAAAACGAGTGGAACTGGAATATGGGGAAACTTTGTGCTAATGAGCCTCTTGAAGGCGACTTCATTCGTGATCTGGTAAGGGAGAAGGGCGTCTTCGCAAAGAAGACGCAGGGCATATTCGTTAAAAGAGCGTGTAACAACTTGGGAGCCGCCTTGGCCGACTGACTCAGACAGGTCAACCTGTGCGTTGTCAGTGGCCACGAGTATTTCATCCCGGTCAGACATATTGTGAATATCTCACCTCAAAATAACCATGCAGCTTCACAAGCCAGATGGTGTTGTATCCCCCTTTAGCCAGCAGCGTAACCGACTGAAATATAGCAGCCTCGGTCGAGTCCAGGTCGAGGCTCTGAGGCTTCGGCTCCTGCCGGCTCTCCATCATCGCCCGCACCTTACGAACGATTGCATTGTTTGCACTTTTTAGGGTATCCAGTGCTATCGCTGCGGTAGTAGTAGACTTTGGGGTGGACATCGCACTGCACTTGGTGGTCTTTGCAGAAGCCGTTCTTGTTGCAGCACTGGCAGTGATGGGTGGTGGGCATGATGGAAGGAGTTCTGAGAAGCTCAGGCGATGCAGGATGTTTTGTGAAACCGGAAGTCACGTGGCTGTGAATTGGATCTTGATGACCATATTGTATCACCAACTTCATCCTCTGCCAGTGATGCGATGATGGTCTTTTATAGGTAGTTGAGCGTACCTAGGCAGTAACTTGTTCCCTACCTCAACACTCTTCTTCTCCAATATTTACCAATTTTTACTCCAAACGGGTAATGTTCTTTCACCCTCATTGCACACGCGCTCATCTCAACATGTGTGCGGGGGAAATCCTTCGATATTGAAATCATGCAAGGAGGTGTATACTGTTAGGCTGCAGCCAGCCTTGCCCTCGGTATTGGCCAGCACCCATCAACAAGGAGGGTCGCGTCTCGCCTTTTTCATGCCTTGTGTGCTCACTTCCTTCCTTGGCTCTCTCTGCCGCCTTTACTGACCAGGTTTCTATAGGACATCCTCCACTGGTCGTATGGGACAAGATTTCAGCCGCTTCTCTTCGGTGTGCTAGACAAGCTCCGATGCTCAGAAACGGAAATTCTCGACAATCACTTTGGCACAAGTCAGATTTATCATCGAGGCTGTACACTGCTATACGTGTGTGATAGCCTAACAGGGCCTTGATTTGACTCACACCACGGGAACTTATAGATCCTACGAGGTAATGGTTGACAATGTGCACATCGCTTGAGAATATGTACATGTTTCCTTAGACAAGAGGGGGATTTGCTATCAGCTTCAACATGTTCAAAATCTTCATGAGATAGAGGAAATGCTTCCATCGGGTTGTTCACGCCGCAGATTAACTGCATTCAAACCGTAGATCGGCTTCCCAGTACCGCCCCCTCATCCATACAAAGTAAGGCTGACTCTGTATTACCAGGCTATCACCCCACAACAAAGCATACATCCAACACTAGAAGGCTATTGTAAGAGCACCAGGACGTAATGATGTGTTTTCCTCCTCACATATGTGCGGCCATAAGCTGTGGAACTACTAAGACGCTGGATAGCAAAGGAAGACTATTGGATGACCAGACCAACCTGCTCAATCTCTCGTTGTCATGGCTCAATTCTCTACATATGGCTACCTGGGCCTTGTGGTCCCTACTCTACTGCTCGAGGGCATACAGTTTGTGACTAGGATCCCAATCAATGATTCGGTACAAGGACCGCCTTTGAGTCCAAAGGAACATTCAAGCGGTTGATAGCGCCTTCGTCTTGAAACCACTCCAAAACTGGAATTAGATGAACCAAAGCCGGTTCTCAAACTGAAAATGCCCCCTTTTTACCTTGTTCACCCCAGCTCGGCAGACAAATTAATGCATAGCAGATGATCTTAGCGGGAGGCGCCGCATCTCCCTCTGTCAGCGAGAATTTCCTAACTCGGCTTACGAGAGTCATCGTATAGCAAGTGAAGAAATTTTGTATTCTCGATGCTTATATCTCCAGCCTTTTCGCATAATGTCATCCATTGTGCCTGATACAAGTAAAGTCCCGTCAGCAAGATTTGAGCGGTTGTCAACAAAAGTAACCTCTCGATGATATATAGATTCAGACACTCTCGCCTATGTTAACGAACAACGAGCGGTAAACTCATCAATCAACAGTCTCGACCAATCTACCTATTCAGACCATTCCCATTCAACGACCTCTAAGATATGACCACTATTACAACGAGTCGTTACGCAGCGGCACATGCAGACCCGCATGGACCCGGCGATGCAAGGCCAACTGCCCTCAAAATCATCAAAGACGAGCAGCGAGAGGGAACCATGAGCGACAAGGTCGTCTTCATCACGGGCTGTTCCTCAGGACTGGGCATCGAGACAGCGCGAGCGATGAAAGCCACCGGCGCGACCCTCTTCGTTACGGCTCGCAACCTGGAAAAGGCAAAGCAAGCACTCGGTGATATCCTTGACGGCGGCCGTGTTCACCTCCTCAAGTTGGATCTCGAGTCCCTCGACAGCGTCCGGGCCTGTGTCGATGAGTTCAAGTCCAAGAGCAGCAAGCTCAATATTCTCATCGAGAACGCTGGCATCAGGCACGTTCCCCTTGGAAGAATGCGGGACGGCTACGAAAAGCACTGGGGAACCAACCACCTCTCTCATTTCCTGCTATTGGAGCTCCTCAGACCAGTCCTCATAGCAACAGCCACACCAGACTTCTGCTCTCGTGCCGTCCTCGTCTCGTCCACGGCTCACAGAAACGCTCCCATGGACTTTTCAGACTTGAACTGGGAAAAGAGGCAATATGTTCCCTCAGTCGCGTACGGTCAGAGCAAACTTGCAGATGTGTACACTGCGAGTGAAGTCGACAGGCGATATGGCGCGCAGGGGCTTCATGCCTGGAGTATGCACCCTGGAGGTATCAGGACGGGGCTTCAGGCGCCCAGTCAGTGGGATATCAAGGACTGGCTCGTCGTCGTCAAATCTGGCCCCATAGCAACGCTCATGAGCATGATGAACGCTGAGCAAGGTGCGTCGACGTCGGTATGGGCTGCGGTGAGCAGGGATCTAGAAGGCCAAGGAGGGAAATACCTGGAGAGAAACCGATTTAGCGAGCCGTTGAAGAAGGGGTGGAAGATGATTGATCCAGGGCATGCCGAATGGGCCTATGATGGGGAGGCTGCAGCGAGATTGTACGACATGTCTCTCAAGGAGATCAACCCCTGGCTTGATTAAACTCGGGCTGAGTGACACAGCATGAAAATAACTCTCATTGCACTCTCAATAGAATTTGCGTCGCTGCTTTGATTTTCTGTGGGCCAACACTTTTATTGCTCTACAATACCTAGGTAGTATCTAGTCTCCTACCAATTGCTCTGGAAAGAGGAAAACTCTGTGTCTGCTTTTGCTGAGCTTTGCACTCTCATCATACGGCTTGCCCATGAGCCTCGTATCTAACTTCCGCGGGCAATCTTCTGCAGTTGTGCGAGATTTCCGTTGAAGATATCATTATCGCCACCCCAGGGAGAGGCATCACTGTTCTGCCAGATTGTATAAACGCTCCAGCCATTGGGCAGCGCCCCAACAGAGCTAGCATACCGCGCGATAACAAGAGGCGATTTGCTACCAAACGAGCCATTGTTCCCAGTACAGAGTTGCCACCAGCTTGTGGAGGTGTAAATGAGAGGATACTGGGTCGTAGCAGCGTGGTAAGTGTTGACAAAGTCGTTGATCCAGCTGACCATGGCACTCGCGCTCAAGCCATAGCAGCTGTCGCCGCTGGGAGCATACTCAAGATCCAGCATACCAGGAAGTGTGATGCCGTCCGCTGACCAGCCGCCTCCGTGTTTGAGAAAGTAGTTGGCTTGGGCAGCACCGGAAGAGGAGGCGGGCTGGGCAAAGTGGTAACCACCCCGGATGAAGCCGGCATTGGTCGCCTTGGTATAGTGATCGCTGAAGCTGGGGTCAGTGTAGGTGGTGCCCTCAGTAGCCTAAGCAGCAGTTTAGCACCTCATCTTGAAATGAGAGTTGGGAAGACGGTATGAACCTTGATGATCACAAAGCGTGCACCATCGGCATAGGCTTTGGCAAAGTCAACGGTGGCTTGGTAGTGGGAAATGTCGAATCCTGGCACGGTTGCGCTGGCCATAGAGGCAAGGGCTGCCAATTGGACGGCAAGGGGAGTCAGAAACTTCATGATGATGTAAAATATTTAGGGATATAGACTGGAGCAGCTTGCTGGAGGTTGACTGGATCAAGAAACTTTCTGAATACAATTTGCGTCTGGGACATGGGAGGGCCTTATATAGTCGGCCAAGTCGTCACTTTGAGACAGTGCAGCCCTTCTCACAAGATCTTCATATGCAAACACGGGACAGAGACGCTCTACGAAGGCCCTTGTTCTCCCAACCTGAGGTACTACATATATGTACTGTACTATCTTGACTCAGGTGTCGCAATATGCTATGCAGATTGAGCTTGGTGGACCATTGCCGACCTCGCTCAGCTTGGCGATTCGACGCAATCAAATTCTCCCTTTGATTCCCGTGCTGTTTGATAGAGCATCCGAGCTCTACCCCCCGCATTTAGTACCGCGCAACCACTCATGATCGGCGGGCTATCTGAGAGCTGAAAATGATCCCTGCTAGAGATGGGGCCATCTGGTCCAGTTTGGAAGGTGATTTACTGCGGAAAACCGGTTGTAAGGCGCCAGCATCAAGGCCGATGAGAAACATGAAAAATATCTAGTGTTTTGGAACTAGAGATTGTATAACTCTTGCTTCCCATAGATGCTATATATAGGTTCAAAGTACGGCTGACGGGTAGTTATTCCGATCTGATCCATTCAAATGTCTTCATGTAGAACTGTGTCTGTCTGGAATGCAACTGATCCGCTCATCGTCTGCAGCATCATGGTCATCCATAAGGTATGCTGCGCACAGCTTCCTATTCATGGAATAGCGCGCTTCCTGCAGAGGTGCCCTGTCAAATAGGCCAATTGGACGCGAGGAAGCAAAGCCGAGGATGCGACATCACTGGACGGTGACGGAATCTTTGTTCCTGGAATAATGATATAGGTTGTATACGTCTATCAAGTGAGACTTACTCCTCGGTAATCAGATTGAGATATGAACCCACCATATCAGCTGAGGCGGAGAATTGTTGCTCCAGCTTGCTCTGTTTCCAATAGTCCTTGTGCTTGTGCGACCTGATCGATGGGAAAACCAGCAATAAAACCTGTCCTACAGTTGTTTTGCACCAAGGATTGCGTAAGGATTATATGCGGAACAGGCAGATCAGACATGTGATTATTGTTTAGGCAAATTGTAGTGCAATGCGTTGTATTCTCATACTCTCACAACCAGCCTACGCCAAACATCTTCATCTCCTTACACATTAGGGTACCCCTCTCCATGACTTATCAAATCAAATGGTATACAATTCTCCATCCATAAGTCGACCTAGCGAGACATCTCAAGTCTGACCCAAATCCATCTCTAGATGCTCTTTCATTGAAAGATGACAAAAGTTCTGACACACCCATATTCCTCGGTGACAGGAGGTTGGTAGGCAATTGCCCTGTTCAGATGTCCCGCTCAAGACCAAGAAGCCCTGATATATATCGCGACAGTCTCTCCAACAGATTTCGGCACCCAGGCTGAGCCGGGCAACTCTCGGTTGCGGTAGGTCTTTTAGCGACCACGTCAGTGCCCAGCTTGGGCCTTTGGACAACGAATTGGGTATCTGTTGGCAATCCAGATCCCAGAGTGCTGTTGGCGGATGGTTGAGGTTCGAGTGGTGTCGCCTCATTGGCATCATCCGACGCGGCAGGAGTTTGTGAGCGCCCGGTACCGGTACGTATCGCGATGTTGTTGATCACGATGTAATGGGGGCGGGCGTGAGAGGGACGCCGAATGGCGTTGCGACGAAGGATGGAGACATCCTCGCGCTGACGTCGACGCAACGTCTGGAGATCGCGTTTGGAGGTCGACAGGTTGCCATCAAATGGCCGGGAGAGAGGGGGAAAGTACTCGGCTACTCTTCCCTGGATCGCCATTGCGAGAGCGTTGCAGTGATTGTGCAAGAAGAGACAAAGACGTTGGAGTAAGAGTAAGTAGCAGTTGTTGATCTGGGCTGATATACAGAGCAGATGTGAGAAGATTGAATAGTGCAGGAGCCGAAGGCTGGAGGAACCTGGGTTATTTATACGTTTGGTACATTCTGCTTGAGCATAGTGTACAGATAGTACGCTTTAAGGCTATCCTGAAGAGGCTTTTTGCCTAGAACCTTGATCCCAAAGAAGGTTTACGGGTTTTGTTGATACCATGCTTTGAAAGCTGATACTGACCAAAATTGGGGACACCTTCGACTACAAGGGCTAGGCGTATTATCCATGTTATCGGCCATTGCCGTGGTGGCGTTGTACTGGTCTTTCAACTGCTTCATAACCTTACGAACTCGCTGGATGAGGCGTTCGTGATCTATAGAATGGCGTCACATAGGGCTTTACATGTTATCAACTAAGTAGTGACGCATCTCAACGACGCTGAGCAGGAGCTTGCCGGTTTTGAGGTTGAGAGTGAATGAAGAAGCGGAAGGTCTCAACCTCAACCTCATCAAGACAGACGTTGAGACCTCAACCGCATAGAGACTGATGATACCATATGAGACTCTCTCTGATTTACCCACAAGGTTGGATTGGATTCTGCTACGTCCTTGTGGTGGCTAAAGTACCGCATAAGGTATGCTTGGTGTATGTGGCGTCCCTTTGGCTTGAACTTGGCCAGGCAACTGGGACAATTTGGTTAGATCTGTGGAATAAGCTTATCAGAAAACCTCCGAGAATTCTAAAACGAAGCTCCACATAAGGTAAGGTGCCGATATTCCTGATTTAGAGCTGTCAGCCGCAGCAGGTGGATTCACTTAGATGGTACACTGGCGCATATAACGGCTCGAGAAGAGGCTGTAGCATCTTAGGAAGTCACTTTTGTACGCTTGATGTTGCTGCTCATAAGAATTCTCAAGGAGGCATGCACAACTTTTGGTTTCAGGGGAGCAAAATTGTCAAAAGAAGAATAAACATTGTTGTCTAATTACATTACATTTTGTGACATTTCGTCGTATACATTTGCTTCCGTCCATCGAACACCAATCCTTGACAGAGTCTTGAGCCGTAACTTGACAGTTTGAGCAATAAGGCTTCTCCTTCTATGGCAGAGTAGTAGGGGCATAGCTCTGGTTGGGCGTAACCACCTTGCCATCCTGGACCTGAACATCGGTATAAGCAGGCCAAGTGATGAGCTTCTTGGCGTAGTCCACAACAGCAAACGTGGTGAAGCCGTTGCCAGGGCCAAACTGTCCGCTCCAGCTGGACGTGACGGTGTAAGGGCCGCAGGTGACGGGGCCGCCGCTGGCCTGGGAGGCATTGGCAGCGGCCTTGACGACGTATGTGCAGGGCGTGGCAGCGGCGAGGTGGGTATCAACGCCAAAGGTCCATGTGCACTCGGTGTTGGCCTTGTTGCAGACGCGCTTCATGTTGGTGATTGTCCACTGGGGAACGGCCGCCATCATGGACTTGTCGGCGGGAGTGGGAGCCGCGAAGGCGGTGGAAGCGGCGAGGAGGCCGGCGAAGAGAGTCTTGGTGAGTTGCATGGTTGCGAATAGTTTGGCCGAGTGTTTATATGTGGGAGAAGTGTTTTGAGGTGAGTTGATCTGTGGTAGAGGCGAAGCAGAGGCAGAGTTGGATGAGGATGATGGGCTAGAGAGCTTCGAGTCGGTTCATCTCGTCTCCTTATATACTCGATCGAGCTGTGTCTGTGTACCTTGAAAACTTGGAAACATTGCCAACGCAAGTGGAGAAGACATTCATGCTCTCAACTCGTATTGGCACGATCGAGGCCTGAGCCAGCTCATCTTGTGGTTACAGGAATGTCGGCAGACACATCGATTGGATGCGATCATCCGGGCAGCTTGCCAGAGGCGGTCACGGTCTGCAGCGGCCACTCGGCACCCTTGCATCAATCTCGTATTTGAGCTGGCATGTTGAGGCTGTCTGTCGATTTGCGGTGGCAATGCAGCAGGGCTGGCCAGCCTCGGGATGAGCGTCATTGAGCATTGGGTTGCAGGGGTTTGTTCCTCCACATCATCGGGCCATTGCCTGATCTCTCAAAGCCGCTGACTACAGATGACATGTAGAGACACGAAACCTCTTGACTGGACAGAGACAGAGGGGTAAGTACAGTGTTGTGAAGGCACTTTCGTTGATTGGTCTCAGTGACTCAAAGGTCTCTCAATTGTCTCAAGACACAATCCATCGACTCCCACTTGCAACGTTGGCAGTGTCTAAGCTTGGATTTACACTGTGTAAGGCTTCCGATTAGCGTGTGGGGATCGCATCCGCCGCCGCTCGTATTCCTAGAATAGACCAGAACATGCAGTAAACGGTCGCTGCATCTGGTACTCCGTTACGGTAACGCAATCCCATCTTGCCCCTATGTGATGCAGATGATCGAAGCGTTATACGAAGTGTTACGAGCCAGCCGTATTGCATTGAAAGTTGCTGCCGTTTATGATTGATGCTGCCGGGATCTGTAAGGGAGGACGTCCTACGTGGCGGTCAAAAGGGAGGCTGGGTCAAGCTCGGTGTCTCGTACTTTGTCTGAACTCCGGGATCGACCTAGGGAGTTTTCTAGAAGTAAGGTACAGTATTGACGCAGGACTGGTGGAGGTGAGGGCCATGCAGTCCAAGTATGCGATGGTTCAGGCCCGCACACGTTTTTCAGATGTAAGTCTTGGAAAGAAACACAGCTGCAAATGTCTAAAGCACAATCAACCTAACACGCCATATCAACCCTACTCTGTGCTCAATATGCATGCCACAAGTCCAGTCGAGAATCCAGGATGTGCCGAGTACATACTGCGTAGTAGTAGGTAGTCTATCAAGGACGAAGAGCTCAACTGGTACATGATCAGCTGGGGCAGTCATGCTGCAGCCTGTGTTCAGCAAGCTTGCTCGGCCGACGGGTTGAGCGACCCTGGTCACCTTAATGCCGAGACTCTTCCCCGCATAGTTGTGCCACCCGGGAGAGGGCAAGAGCCGAGGTCATGCGGCTTTAATATAAGAAGGCATCTGGTTATATATAATAAAGGGCAACTATAAACTCTCTTCTTTTATAAAAGACTAGCTAAAAAGAAAGAAAAGGAAAATAAATAAACAGCTATAAATATATTATAGCCCTAAGGCTTATAATATTATAAAGTAGTTTTAAGTTATTAAAGTAAGGACTACTTAATATATCCCTTTTAAAACTAATATATTATAATATTATTATAATATAACTTAAGTAATTAATAATATTTTATTAATTATAAAATATAAGCTATTTTATTATATATAAAAAATATAAAATAAATTTAAAAAATAACTATTATTTCTTTAATTAAGAAGAAATAATATTAATAAAAATAGTAAATTAAATTAAGATTTTTTTATTTATTAAAGTTTAAAAGTTACTTTTACTTATTAAAGTATAAGGCTTTTTAAATTAAAATAAAAATAAATTACTAAAATAAATATAAATAAAAATAAATTATTAATATAATAATAAAAGCTTTTAAATAGCTTTTTATTTATTAAATAAAATGCTTTTTTTATAAAAAATATATTAATACTATTAATATAATAATTAAAGTTTAATAAAATACTTATATTTTAAAGTATTAAAAGTATAAGAGATAAATTTATTTTAATTAGTAAATAAAATACCTTTTATAATAAAGGTTTTTTTAATATAAACCTAGTTAAAGTAGCTGCTTATTTTAAAATGCCTTAAAGTTAGTATTATAATTTAAGAAAAATAAAAAAACTTATATTACTTTTTATTATAAATTTAGTATTTTTAAACTATTTTAAATATAAACTTATTATAATTTAAATTCTTATTAATATAAAAAAAGAAATAATATATATAAAATAAAGTATAATTAAAATAATAAAGTTAGTATACTTATTATAATTACCCTTACTATTAAATAAATATATAAATTTAAAATAAATCTTTATTATTAAATAGTATTAACTATTTTTAAAAGCTTTATAAATTTAATATACTTAATTTTTATAAATAGCTTTATTAAATTATTTATAATTATTTTTTATATATTAATTTATTATATTTTAAAGTTTTTTTATTTTATTTTATTAATAATTTATTTAAAATAAATATTTATATACTTTATTTATATTATATTATATTATATTAAGAATAGTAATTTTAGTATTTTAAAAATTAATATATAAAATTATAAGCTTTTAGTTTTTAATACTTAAATTATTAAGGATTTTCTTAATTTAAATAGTTAATATTTTAATTAAGGTAAGGTTTATAAATTTAGCTTTAATTAAGCTTATAATAATAATAATTTATTTTTTACTTTTTTAATAAACTAGTTTATTTTTAATTAATATAATATAGCCTGCTATATTAAATCTTTTAGCTAAGTTATTAATAAATATTATATTAATATAAACCTTTAAATTAAGGTTTTTAATATTATATTTACTATTAAGTTAAATACTTAAGTTAGTTATACCTTAAAGGTATTAAAATAAATACTTTAAGATTTCCTTATAATATTTTATTAAATTAATATTAGCTTTATAAAGCTTTTAAATAGTATATATAATATTAAGCCTTATACTTATTAAAATAAAATTTAAGCTTTTTATTTATTTTAATTATTTTTTTATTAATATAATAACTTTTTATTATTTTTAATTATAAAAAATTATTTTTTTAAATAGCTATAAGGTTTTAATTAAATTTTAAAATATTAAAATAAATTTAATAATAACTTTTTTAATATAAATACTTTAGCTAAGTATAATTATTTTATTTTTTTAATTTTTATAAACTTTTAATTTTAAAAAAATAATTATATTTTCTAGCTTTTTAATTTTAAATAGGCTTTTTAATTATATTATTATATTATAAATAATTAATATTTTAAAACTATAATTATTATATTATTTATATATAAAATTAAAATAATATTATTTTTATATTTAAAAATATAAAGCTTAAATTTAAAAGGTTTAAATTAAATTATAACTAGTAGTTATATAGCTTTTTTAAATTATTATAAAAAGGTATTTAAAAAATTATAAAAAGCTTTTTTTAAATAATAAACTTTTTTAAATTTATTATTAAAGCCTTATAATAAATATATATAAACTTCCTTTTTAATATTAATATTAAAAAATATAATAATAGTATTAAATTACTATTACTTAAAATTATTAATTACTATAATTAAATAAAATACCTTAATTAATATAAAATAGGCTATTATAATATAAAGTTCTTTTATTAAATAGTTTATTTTTTAAAGCTAATTTTTTTAAATAATTAAGTATATTATTATTATAAAATTACTATTAGTAAAATACTTTAAATTATATACTTATTTATTATAAAGGATTATAATATCTTTTAATAATATAACTAAGCTTTAAGTTTATTTTTTAATTAAATTATTATATTATTTTTTTATTATAAAAAACTATTTAATTTTATAATTATACTTTTTTTTAATATTATTTTAATTTTTAAAAACTTTTATACTTTTATTAAGTTATTATTTAACTTTAAGAGTTATAAATATTATAAAAATTAGTTATTTTTTTATAAATTTATTATACTTTTATTATTTAATAGTCTTAATTATAAATATAATTCTTTTTATTTTTCCTTTATATAAAGCTTTATAATTAACTTAAGTAATACTTTTTATAAAGTAATACTATTATTAATTAGCTATATATATTTTATTTATTTAATTTAATTTAGCTTATTTAAGTATAGCTAAGGTTATATTTTTAATATTAATTATAAGGTTTTATAAGTTAAAAATAATAATAATAATAATATTTTAATAAATAGCTTTAAGTTTAATTAAATATTAATTATAAAGGTTATAATAATAAAAAATAATTAAAAAGGTTTTATTTTATAAATCTTTTTATAAAATAAGCTTTAAAATTTAAAAATACTTACTTTTTTTATAATTTACTAATAATTATTATTAAAAAATATTTTTATTATTATTAGCCTTAAAATACTTAAATTTATTGAATTTAGTATTATTATTAATTACTTTATTAGCTTTAAAAGTATTTTAAATAATAACTATATTAAAAGCTTACTATAGTTAATTTTTTTAGCTAATTACTATTTAGCCTTTTTTTTAATTTTAAAATTAATAAGTATAGCTTTATACTTAATTTCTAGTTCTTTTTAATTATAAAATATTTTACTACTTAACTTTTAAAATTATATATTTTATAATTTAATAACTTTATTTTTATTTAATAAATAAACTTTATAAATATAGCTATTTAAGCCTTTTATATTAATAAAATATTCTTTATTTACTTTAAGATATATTTTTATACTTTTAACTTATTAGTTTTTATATTTCTTAATATATACTATATAACCCTAGGTCTTAATATACTTAATATTATATTTATATTTTACTTAAATAGCTTTAAATATCTTTTTTAATAATAAGATCTTATTTTTATTAAATAAGGTTAGTAGTAAGTTATAAATATATATAAT